ATTGGCTGTTTAAGGAATAAACATACAATTGTGGTATATCTAAGTAATTCTCCCTATATTTTTTGCATATTTCCTTGTCTCGTTTTCTCTTTTGTCATCTTCTTTGAACAAGATCTTTACTTAGTCAAATAAATATGAATTTGTTTTCTCATACTTCAATTTGTTTGCCATATTTATTTGACTTCGTTTCATTGTGGAACTACCCCTGAAACTAATCCTTTAATACTCTCAGCAAACTATATGCTTCTTGGTTGGTTTCTCCGCGAAAGCGTGCAATCGTTTCTTCCAATTCACTCTGGTCGAACCACAGTCACTTGCATTATAGTATCAGACATCATGCATTTCTATTCTTGTGAAACTAAAAAGTATTGAGAACTTGTGAGAGTTGGTGTTAGTCTTTTTATTGAAAATAGGAAACACTACCTGCATACTAGGTAGGAGCCCCGGCCCAATACTTGTATTGTCCCATCCTCTCTTCACAAGTTGTTTCTCGACATACCTATAGATTGTTGCACTATTGGCCGAAAGCAAAATATGTTTAGTGCAAAAAGATAAAGAAAAATAAAACAAAACTCTAGATCTATCTTACCAATGGAAATAAGATGTTGCTCTGGAGACGATGGTTAGTGCAAGAAGATTAGAAGAACCTTATCCGAGAAATAGAAAATGTTTAGTTTTGCTTTTGAGCCAATGAGATAATGAGACTTTTTAAATTTACCTTTGGAGCCAACGAAGTTAATAAGTTAGTGTGTTTCTTGTTCCTCCTTTGTGTTCTGCTATTTACTAAAAACCTACTTTCATATATATTCATTAGTTTCATCAGTCTCACTCGAATCGAAATAAGCCATTAGCCTTTGTTTGTGACCACTGATCAACATACTAAATTCTTACTTGATTTGATTTTATATATGTCAACTTAAGGCGTTCATGAGTTTGCAATGCATATAAAGAGCAGATGAATGATATCGATTGAAATTTTTTTAAAAGTGAAGTTTAACCAAGTAACCAAGTAAAAGCACTTGTTAATCCTAAAACGAGTTAAAATTAAATTAAATTTGGAGAATAATTTTGGCACTGATGAATCACATTCCACCGGTGAATCTTAAATATGAAATCAACCACAACTTGTCTTTGTGTTTATTACATCTTCTGTTTGGTGGTAACGATCAGAATGGATTGGAAGAAACGATTGCATACTTTCGAGGAGAAACCAACTAAGAAGCATATAGTATAAAAGGATTAGTTTTAGGGCAAGTTACACTATGAAATTAAGTCAAATAAATTTGATGGGAAAACGATATATTTCCCCTGATAATTAATGTATCAAACCAGATAGAGTCCGAGCTTTGACTTCGATGTAGATATCTCCAAAAGAAAAGTTTGATTCCTAGTTCTCTCTAACTAAAAGTTCTAAACCTAATTCTCCCCGAAACCAGAGTTCAAAATCTTATTATCCCCAACTCTTGGTTTGGGCTAATGAAGTTGCACTAAACTTGGAACATAAGAGCACACAAGCGGTTGACAACTTCCGTATGCTGATTCTCCGAAATCCACTTCTTTCAACGATCAATCAACTCCAAAGATGAAAGCCATGTTGTGCCATGTATTCATGTGTCTCTCAAAAACCACGGCAACTTTCTTCTCCTCGTCAACAAAGAAACTCCCCAAATCAAACTGATACTGAGGATGAATGAGTTGTTTTATACTCACTGATAAGAACACCTTGCTGTTCCACGACACCGCGTGAGGCTCAATCTTAGAGGTGATCCATATCTCCATCCGCAATGTATCCCAAGGCTGAAACAAAACCGCAAGCTGCTCTTCTCTAACACTAGATATACTCATAGTATCTTCTGTATGATGTAACTCAAACAGAAGGGGCAAAGGCGGTCCAAATGTCTCACTTGTGAAATCAAAACAGACTAAGAAATAGTCATCATTTGTTCTTGTTTCGGAATACTTCTCTCTAGCCAACCAGTAGGCATTTCCCTTGAGAGTCACACCATTGTGAGTATACCATAACTTCCAGTCTGGAGCGATGTTTAAAACCCTCCATGAATCAGAGTTAAAAATCGTAGATCTTGAACTCAACAAATGTAAAAAACATCTAGATTTTGTGGGATTTGCTGCTCTTGTCGTATCCGAGACCATAAGAATAATGATTGGAGAAGTTATGTGGGGGCTCGATCGTTCGGGTATGTCCCCAATACGGGTTCCAAACCACGAGCCTAGTCTTCTTGTCTTTGGTGCTGCAGGTGCATAACAATAAACCGTCGCAGTGAAAGACTTGAGATATCTCAACTTCATCGCCTAAGCTAATAAGTTCACCTTCACGCTTTAGATATGATTCGAGGTTGTTGTGGAGATTAACTCTCATCAAATAAACCCTAAAATTCATGATCACGACCACCATAAACTCTCTTTCCCTTGCTTGACCAGCAAGGTACTTCTTTGCAAAGCTTCCCACATTTTGATAAAGTGTTCCAGTTTTTGCAAGTAGATTGGACTCTTCTCAGAGACGTCAACGGAGTTCTACAAAGCACCTCCTCCGCCAAATCCCTTGGAAGGTTTGATATCTTCTTCATTAAACTATCTAGGGGTCAATGTAACGCAAACTAGTTAATCTTGCATGCACCTTACTTCTCTCCCTGTCTGTATATATAACAAATTGAAGATGCAGCTGAAAGAAACCCAAATCTAACGTGGAATGAGAATATATGTTTACTGAATTGTCGATAAATATTAATTATATTTTTTTGAACAAAAAAATTATATGTATATTAATTGTATTATCGACGAATATTATAACTAAAAGATATGCATAAAGGTAACTTCTATTCAGGCCAAGTTTTCATGTTTAGAACTGCCAACATAACTAATATTGTGACCAAAACATATTATTATTGTCTTTAACTAGCAATGTAAATGATTCTAGGCGGTTTCTGATTCAAATGCCGACAACAACTACTACGTAACGGTTTCATGTTAAATGGAAAAAAACAAAGATGGGGTATATAATCAAAGCTCATTCTTTGCTTTGCCTTCGCTAGCTGGTTCACCGTTCACAGCAACAAGCTCGGTGTCGAATATCAGTGTCGCCCCACCTGCAGATCAACATTCATTTCATGAAACATCGAGTCTCAATCGCAATATCGCCTTATTAACAAATGCAAGCTAGGGTCGCAAATTTACACAGCGCAACAACTCTCAGTATTTGACTCCCTAGTTCTTGGTTCTGATGCACTTACGGTACACATGCATTACTGGTTTATCGTTTAATGTGTGCAGCATTTTTTATTAGCTGGTCAATTCAGTATCTTATGTTCTCCTCTACCCTCACTATTAGATTAGAAGGATGGACAGAATAATCTACTAGTCAAAGTACAGGCGAGCAACATAACATAACATACCCGGAATTTTTGGGGGTGAGCCGTTATCACCATAACCAAGCTTGGATGGGATTTTCAGCTTTCTCTTTTCACCTACACAAGCGCCCAACAAACCTTGGTCCCATCCTGCAACATTTCAAATTAATTTCATTACCTTCAGTTTTGACTGTCAATTAAAAAATGTTTCAAAAACAGGGCAAAACAGATGGAGTTGATGCGATGGAATTGCAACGAACCTGGGATCACTTGACCAGTTCCAAGCTCAAACTCAATAGGGTCACCTCTCTCGAAACTTGAATCAAAGACAGTTCCATCAGTTAACTTTCCCTGCAAGAGCCAAGAGGCAAGAGAGGATTACGTCAATCACTCCAAGCATTTTGTAGATCAGATTCATTAACATTGTTTGTTCTAAAGCTATCCAATGTCAACAGTTCCATAAATACTAATGAAGGTAATTCCACATTATCACCCCCTGATGTTTCATGAAAACTCCTTCATGGTTCTTCTTTTCTCTCAATAATCAGAATACTACAAAGCAGGCAAGGAGAAACCTTCCCAGCATAAGTTACACAGCTGGTAAAAGTGTAAAACCTTGAAATAAAACTTACCCGGTAGTGGACCTTGATCTTATCCCCTTTGTGAGCCTGAAGATCACATTTCTGAGGCTTGTACTGTAAAAAAAGAAGCAAATGAAAGCATTGGTCACAAAACTGCATCAACCAAAAGAGTATAGAACCCAAGTCCAATTCCAATTTCTTCATTTACTTTCCAAAGTAACAGAGCATAGAAAGATTAGAAAACAAATGCAAAACCAAAATATCTATTGTAGCCTGATGCAAAATGCAAAAGAGTGTATAGAGAAGGTCTAGATATGATGTAATTATGACCATTGTCATCTTCTAATCACTCAAATTAAGAAAAATTTCAGTTGAATTCGAACTTAAACAACATAATCAAGACCATTATCATCTCTTAATCACAAAAAACTGAGATCAAATTCAATTTCACTCGAACAGACTCCAACACAGATAATCAAATTCAAACATGGAAGTTGAAATTAAATTACGATCCGATTAGAGAGACGTGAAAGAGCATTAGTACTCACCTTGACACCAATCTGCAACTCTGTCACATCACCTGACTTCTTCGCATAAGCTGAAGAAGATCATCATCATCATCATCACAACGAGAAACATCAAAATAAAACAACGGAGAACAGATCGATCCGATGAAATCAAATCGGAATCGAGATGATACAGAAGAAGACGCGAAAATAAAGAAGAGAAGATTATTTTACCTAATGTTAGCACCGTAAGCAGAAGCAAAACTCCAGCAGCTTTCATGGCGGATGCAGAGCTCATCATCTTCACGTTTTCGATTCTGATCTCTCTCAGTCACTGGATTATACGATATAAGATCTGTTTCAGTATCCGTCCTTTTGTCAACAAAGAACAAATTAAATCCAATGGGCCTACGCCATATTAATAGAAAGGCCCACTTATAGCCCACTATTAACAAAGATGATACAAATCATAACCAATGCTCTCTAATCTCACTGTCACAAGGATAATTGATACAAATCATACAAATCTTGAATTGACAGAGCTTTGTAACATTCAAATGTTATAACTATGTTATACATCAGTAATATTATATGGAAAGAGCATTTGTAAATCAACAAATGTTGTACAGCTTTTGGTTTGTAAATAATAGTAACCATTGATATAGGACCTCATCTACACATCATTCGTCTAAAAGGATACATCATAATGAGATCTAAGATCATTTAAACAATAGAAACCGCAGAATCTCTAGACACGATCATCGCCCAAGTCTTCAGTCTTACAATCCCTATGCTTCAACCTGAAATGTGGATTCCAAATATAATCTTGATCATTACTGAGATCTTCAGGTTCATTTACACAGAGTAGGAAACACACTCTTAACCCAAACTGATCCAACGTTTAGCCCTATTCCGAACTCAGCGATTTGATCGTAAATCTAAATGATCAGAACCAAATCAATCATCCCTTATTTAAAAAATACACTTCATCCATCAATGTTCTGTAGTTCCTTTCACCCATCACCGGATCCCGTTTCTTCCATTCCTCAACCAGTTCAAGAGCTTCATTACCTCTACCTCCCCTACACAACTCAGTCAAAACTGTATTATACGTCAACATATCCGGAGACAACGAATTCGCCAACATGTCATACACAACTTCGACTGCTTCATTCAATCTCCTCTCCATTGAAAGACTACAAATCAAAACCATATAACAACTCCCATTAGGAACCATCCCTTTACTCCTCATCTCCTTGTAAAACCCTAAACCCTGTCCAAGCCTTTCTTTCTCACAAAGCCCTTTAATTAAGTAACTATAAGTATAAGCATTAGGCTCAGAGCCATACAGAGCCATCTCTCTAAACACCCTTATAGCTTCATCTACTTCAAGACACTTTGCATAAGCTTTGATTATCATATTCAACACATACGTATCCGGAATCACACCGTTCGATTTCATCTGCTTCGTGAGCGATCTAACAGCGTGAAGATACACATAACAAACATTCAATTTGTTGAATCTCTTCAGCAATGAAGAGAGAAGCAAAGTGTAAGTTTCAAGATCAGGTTTCGAGTTATCAGATCGAAGCATCTTGTTATAAACATCGAAAGCTCGATTGAAGAGAAACTTACGACCACAGCAGAATCTGATGATGCAATTGTAGAGAGGAACGCTGATTTCACAAGCGCCGGCGATTACTTCTTCGATTAAGGTTTCGACGAATTTGTTTCGTTTTCCGGTGATTGCTTGTTTGATCATGGCGTGGTAAGCTTCGTGATTGTGTTTGTAGCCTCGTTGCTGAGCCGTCCATCGGAAGATGTCGAGCGCCAGATCTGGATCAGATTGAGCTCGTAAGGCTGTTACAACGTCTGAGTTTGTGAATCCTGGTTTGAGATTCTGGATCCATGTTTCGAATTGAGTCTCGAGTGGTGTTCTGGTTCGAGTCCGGGAAAGGGAGGTGTGTGTTTCCGGCGAAGAAGAGAAAGACAGAGATAGGTGGCGATTCACGGCGGTGGACAGACACGTCGGAGATAAAATACAAACGCGATTAGCGGAGGAGAGAAGGATGAGGCGTCGGAGTGTCGCCGACATTGTACGGAACGAAAAGTCCGATATTGTGTAGCTTCTAAAGTGCTCGGGGAAAGCTAATTCTCCGGTGTGGCCGGTTCGAAGATGATACCAAATAGTAGGGTTTATCGCATTTTGAAATTAATTATAGTTTTTGTTTTACATAAATTGGAAAAAGAAAATTAAAGATTTGTTTTAATACTCTTACAGTCTTACTGAACTAAAAATATTTAATTTCTTTAGTTCACAAAAGTAATCTAATTGTTTTACGAGAATTTTTGAGAAATACCCTTTTTGGTGTACTTTTTTTTAAAAATACCCCTTTTTTTTTATCTATTTTCATCAAATATGAAAAATTAGAAACTTTCATATGGTTGGTAAGGTACATCAAGATCATCATTATTATTAGGAGACTAAATCCAAATATTTATAAAGTTTTAAAAGGTTCTAAACGGCATTTATATAGTTTTTATAAGGTTGTTAAAAGGTTTAGAAAGTTTTTATAAGCTTTTTATATGATTTTTAAAAAGTATTTATACGGTACTTATGAAATATATATATAAATTTACACACATGAAAGATAATTTGTATCTATAAATATAAGTTTATGCATATTTTTTTGATAAATTTCAAAATTTATAATGACTTTTTGATAAAATTAGAAAGAGGGGTATTTCTAAAAAGTGGTATTAGAAAAAGATATTTTTGAAATTCCCCCTTGTTTTATATAAAAGAAAATTCTTACATCAATTAGAGAAAAAAAATATTAGAAAAAAAAATAAAATTGATAAAAGTTTATTGGTTTAAATGTAGAGGCTGCGTTTTGCGAAAAGCGAATACTTGCAGTTTCAAACGTTTTAATCCACTGGTTTAAACACTGGAAACATGCATGTTTGCGCAAAATTTATGACTGGTTGAACACTGAATAAGTAAGCAGTTAGACCAATATTTATCAATATAGATGTCATATAGTATAATTATGAAAAAGTATAAACATATATAAAAAGATATAAAAATACCAAAAATTATATTTATGAAAAAGTATTAAAAACATGATGATTACCGAAAAACATAAAGTATTCAAATATTAAAACAAATACATTGTATGGTCAAATCCAAATAATCTATGCATTGGAAAACTAAAATAGCACATTAATTGGAAAACTGAAAACGAAAAAAATAGGATTAGGTTTTTGTAGTGTTTATAAAGCATAAACAGAAACAACATGAATGAAGCATACAAAAAACTAAAAGAAGAAAACAAACGATATGGATTCATTCTTCATCGACCAAGTTCTCGTACCGTTGGCACTATTGGGTTTATCTTGTATCCTCTCTCTCGTGCTCTTGGCCATTAAGCTTTGTTGTTATTATGAAGACGACGATCTAGGAACGAAGACGACTCGTTGCATCAATCTCCCTATGAGTTTTTATTTGTTTTTGTTGTTATGCATTTGTTTCTTTCTCTTCATCTTTCTTGGTTTATTCTCTTTTGCTTCTGTATTTAAGATTTTTATTTCGTATATGTAAGACTATTTGCATCGTTAGTGTATTCGGATTAGGAATAATTTATCTTCTTACACTATGTGGTAAAAATCTCTAGCAAAAATTTAGAGATCGTTAGTTTGAGTAGCATTTGTAACGAAACCATATACAACTTGTTATGGTTTTGGGCTAAATATACGAGATTCGACAAAAAAAACCTCTTAATTATATAAAAAAGAATTTGACGTCTCTTTTGAATTTGTTTTGGTTTGTGTAAACAAAACTATATTTCATGCATGCATGGTTTAGTTAGATTTTGCTTACATGTCTAGATTTTAGTTCAGAGTTTTGTTTACTAAAGAATATTTGAGAGATTAAAAATGTCACTGGAAAAAGTCAATATGGAAATTACTAAACATTCTTTAACTATTCAAGAATCAATATGGAAAAAGTCATAAAAGCACACTAGTGCACGTTGTTTCCCATTTTCTTTCTTTCAAAGTCTTAAGACACACAAAATAACAAAAAAGGATCGAGAGAAGATGATAGCTGCTTTAGCAAATTTGATATTCTCCATAGTAAGTTTATTGTCTAATTCGATTTCTTATGTGATCTTCCACGTAGCAGCTTGTTGTTTTGTTCTCTTTGTTCAAACTTTCAAGATTCCAGGAGAAGTCATCAATGCCTTGATCAAAGCGGTAAGAGATACAGCTGACTCTTGTGTTCCCAAATTGTGTAACATAGTTGTTGATGTAATCAGTGAAGTTTTCAAGATCTTGTTTGATTTGGCGAAAGAACGAGTCACGAGGTTATCAGATTCGATCTCGTTGACGATTGATGATATGAGGGAGAATGCAATGCCATGGTTTGACCCATTCCTTAAGGAATGGCCAAAAGTTTTTGAAGGTTTCATCGATATGTTATCGACCGTGGCTAGTGGTTTGTGGTGTAACTACAAGGACGCTTTATATTATGTATATCGAAAGTTACTTGAGTAACTAAATTTGTTGTAAACTTATATAAGTATTCCAAACAATATTCGAGAGTTGATGTTTGGGACATTTTAAAAATGTATTAAATTTTATTTGATAATTATACTTTTTAAACTAAAATTGGATACCATTTTATTTGTGGAATCTCCCTTGGTCCAGTGGTTGACCAAATGTTGTTTAAAACTTCAACACCAAGAGATCGGGGTACGACGTCAGATAATACGATTTATTAATTTGCAGATTAAAGAGACAAGCTTACATGAGATCTACAACAATGCACAACTAGAGCCGCTCGCCGTGATTCTACACGCATGGAGAAGGAGGTGTCGTCAGAAAATGATGTAATGTGTGGTGAATCTAATAGGGTTGGAGAGAATTGTCTGTAGTATAATCGTCATTGTAACAATTCTCATTATTTGCAATAATAATAAATCAAGAGTTAAAAAAAATACCTTTTTATTTATTAAGCATTATTTGAATAAATTTATTTGAAAAACTAAAAACAAAATTTAAAAATAATTAAAATTTAAAAATGTAACTAAGTAAAGTATTTAATATAATTAAATAACTAAATTATTAAAAAATATGTATTTGTTTTTAAATTAACAATCATATTAAAATTTCAATTTTTTAAATATAATTTTAATTATTTAAAAGAATCATAATTCGAAATTATATAATTAATAATTTTATTTGATTTCTACACTATCTACATATGGTGACGTCCGATCTTAGTAAGCTGATCAAAGAGGAACTAAAAGAGCTTCTTCATACTGTGTTGGAGAAGTAAGGTCGGAGCAGAACAAAATTTTACTGCCTTAGATATGCCTTTGGTTGCTGCTTTTGACATTTTTGCTACTTTGCTAGCAAAAGTAGAAAATTGCAGAACTTGCGAGTTGCTCAATTTCTTAGTGTAATGCTTTAACGGGTATCTATTTTGTTTGTGGGATTGGTGAAATAGGTTTATCAGAGCTTTATCAGACTGTGATAAACTTTGATCATGTGAATCTTTTGGGTTAGCGTCAAAAAAGTAACATGATTAACGAAACGAAAGTACAACTTTTTTTGTTTGTTTGATTTTACCATTTTCTCTAGTTCCTTCATTGTGCTTAGTCAACTTTTCTTCAGGTTTTGTGTAATCTACAATTCAACTATGTGTGTGTGTGTTTATGACTGATTTAAATGGATTTCATCTCTCGTAATGGCTCATAATCAACCCCTTTTGTGGAAATTTTTGGATGTTTTCAATGCTCATCAAATCTCAGCCATATAGATCTTATTTGCAACACAATGCTTCTCATATCTGAGATATAATAACCAACATGTGTTGTTTAAAGTGTATAGAAAGGTGTAAGGCGGTAAAATTTGTTGGAACATTTTTGTTTAAATTTAGTACATTTTTTAAAATGTCCCAATATAAGATTACTTTGTTTATTTATGATTGATTTATTACACCATGCGTTGACTTATTAATTGTGTCAATAATTGAACTGTTGACTTAAATTAAATCGTCGTCGAATTATTTTATTTTCTATCGACTTGTTATAAAACTGTTAACTTATATTTTGATGGATTGTTTTCTTATACAGTCGACTTTTTTGTTTGCTCCAACCCACCTCTATATCCACATCTATTATAGAGATTGCTATTTTTATCTCTATATATATATAGTAACTCTATTTTTTCCTCTATAAATAGAGCTGGACTATTTATTTGCAAAGTAGTCCTTTTAAATCTTAAATTTCTTTTATTTATAAACAAAATAAATAAAATAAATATTTTAGTAACTAATAATATGAAATATTTTAAAGGTTTTTATATAAATATATATTCTAAAATTTGAGACTACCATTTGAAAAAGATAAATTATATATAATTTTATATAATTTTATAAATATATTTAATAATAGATTTTATTTTTTATAAAAGAGAAAAAGATGTTTTTTATTCCATAATAATATTTTTTATACAAAATGTTATATGATATGATGTTTTTAAATAAATGCTTAACTTAAATTTAAATAAGTTTTATAAAAGTTAAAGTTAATGGGCTAATTTGTAACTTTTATAAATAGGTGGTGTTAATATTAAAATTTTAAAAGAATCTATTCTAAATATTCTATTATAGAGGACTAAATAGAGAAATGCGTTGGAGTAAAAGTCACATCTATTATAGAGTTACTTTATTTTAGAGGAAAAAATAGCAAAACACATTGGAAATTGTGTAACACTCGACTTAACAACACTTGTCTTTCCCAGGACAGCACGGGTCACTCAGGGGCGGACCCACATAGGAGAAAGTGGGGGCAGTTGCACCCACCAACCTATTAAAAACTAAAAATTTTACATTAAAATTAAAGTTGTAAGTGTCAAAATAGTTAAAATGCCCCCATGTAGTGTTTAAGGTTGTGTGTTCAAGTCTCATGTGCTACCTTTTTGCACCCATTTAATATTTTTTCTGGGTCCGCCCCTGGGGTCACTCCAAACACAATCAATGCTATGGTGGCCACGACGGCTACCAGCTTACCACCGCCATTCTTATCTTATGGGTTCTCTATGAAAAAAGCAACCAAAAGCGGCATTGCTGCCCCACTCAAAACGCTAATTACACCACTTCATTAGTATGGACTATGGAGAGCAAAATCAAGAGATTAAGGCTTTTGACCAAGTATATAATCCATTTCTTTGTGGGTTAACCTCCTTATTCATTCCCTATTAGTTTAAGCAATAAAAATGGAGTAATATGCTACGTAATACTATATTTTAAAAAAATCAGAATTAAATAAGAAAAAAAAATATACTTTTATTTTAGTGAAAAGGGGATTGTCTTAAATACCATGAAAATGACTATTTTCCAAAAGTATCATTCCATTATAAGTTTTCTTTTCCAAAAATACAACTAAAATACATTTTATTCCAAAAATACCACCAAACTAAAAATTTTTCTTTTAAAATTCAAAACTAGTTTCTAAATTCTAAACACTAAACCCTACCCCTAAAATTTGTACCCTAATTATAAATATTCAACCCAAACATTAAAAAAATTCTACATCTTCAAAAATCAACTTTTTATGTTTATGGTATTTCTGGAGAAAAACAAACTATGGTATATTTGAAAGAAAAACTAAAATAATGGTATTCAAAAGATTTTTTTTTAATTAAATAAAGTTAAATATCACATAATCACTGTTATATAGAAACTTATTTTGACTTTGTGAAATTGTAAAAAAAAAAAAAAAAAAACATGAATTGGTGTTACGTGAAAATTACTTTTGAATACTTTGATTTTGACTTTACATGATTAATAATATATCTTTGGGAAATCTTTAGCTTTGCTAATATTGTGATAAAAGCATTCTTTAAGTCCTACAAAATCTCGAATTTAGACATATTACGAAAAAACTTTATTTTCTAAACATTTGTTCTAGTCACACGTTTTTGGGTAATGAAGATAGATAAACAAACCATTTATTGACTTCTTCGGTTTTTGTTGTGCATTACATAGTCTACATCACATGTATATCTCCCTTAATGATTGTAACACAAACATAACGCAAGACACTACTACTTTGTGATGCATAAGACTACTGAAAAGAGCCTTTAGATTTGCATGGCTGCGGAGCCAATGAACTTAGTGAGAGCAAAGGTAAGAGCCATAGCCATCCAACCACCAATCACCACCCTAACACTTGACTTAACCACACTTGTCTTTCCCAAGACCGCACCGGTTACTCCAAACACAATCAATGCTATGGTGGCCACGACCGCTACCACCACCATTCTTACCTTATGATTCTCTATGATCACAGCAGACAAAAGCGGCATTGCTGCCCCAACTGAAAACGCTAAAGCTGATGCAATTGCTGCTTGTCCCGGATTTGGCAACCGTTCATTCTTCTCTTCCTGCCATTAAACTTACACTTTTTACTATATATCATTATAAAATTTTCATGTCACTAACATTCTAATTCATACATCTCTCATCTTAGTCTAATTCATACTAAATTATTACTATGATTACAAAAAAAAAAGTGTTAGAGTTGTGTAGCAAATATCTATGTGGAAAAGTTTTGAATGTGAGATAGTAAGTTTTAGTTTTTACTGGTTAGACATTACCTCCTCTTGCTCGTCTATTGCTGATAATGATGTCTTGTTCTCAATATTTCTCTTCATCTGCGCAGTTTCAATATCTCTTTGAGTACACACAGACACAAACTCTCCAATGGCCATACTACAAGCACCAGCTACAAGGCCGGCAAAACCAACGAGCAGCATTGCTTTGACATCTTCTTTGATAGAACCAACACCCATCATGAGGGACGCAACTGTGACAAGACCATCGTTGGCTCCAAGCAAGGCAGCTCTAAGCCACTGAGCTCTCTGCATGTAGTCAACTTCCTCCTTCTCAGCTCTCGGACGGCTTTTCTGATTCCTTGGGCTGCTTGTTTCTGAAAGCTGAACGTTGGAAGTCATTGTGTGGGATTAGTATACTGATCAGTAGTGATGCTTACTTAGATTTTGATTGATGAGAAAGGCTTGTGGAGAACTCACGCCTTATATAGAAAAATAGAGTAATATAGATTTGTTTAATAATAGTTGTGTTACCTAATAATATATATAAGAGAAAAAGATAGAATTGTGGTAGTGGTGTGGTGGAGACGGTAACGTTGGACACTATTAATATTTAGAGTGGAATTATAATCGGATGGATCTACATAGCCACCCAAAAGTGCTATCATGATAAAAAAAAATTATTATTGGGATATATAGTTTAAGATAAGTTATACGACTAATTATTATTAGGGACTTTGATGATTAACTTCATGTATAGGTTGATTACTTTTGAATGTGGCATATTTGATATATTTGACACACATATTGACATAGACAATAATAATTCTTTCATAATTTATTTTTTACTTCCATCACAAATTAAATTACTTTACGTTAGTAAAATTTCACATTGAATTATAAAATTGTAAACCTATATATATGATATATCATAATTCAATGTGATTAGCCAATATATATGACTTATCACAATAATGGGCAAAAATTGTAAACCTCCATTACTATAATAACTTAACAGTGAAGACATTTTTGTTTATTTACCTTTTATGATAGTAAAAAAAAACAACAACGTTATGTTTGTTTTAACTTTTATATTGAAAGCTGTTTTTTAGACAATTGTGTTTTGGTGCTATGTCATTGCTAACATCATTCATGAGTGTTATGTCATTGCTAACATCATCTCATAATCTATTTAATCTTTTTTTTTCTTACTTAAGATCTTAAAGAAATATTAAGTTTTTTGTTTTTGCTTTATGTTGGCAACAGATTTAATTATTAACCAATCGTTAACCAAAAACGCATTTACGGTTTAATCGCAGCAAAGTTACACTGAAGAATGATATACTACAGAATAGTCATTATCGATTATATTATCAAAACTTTCCTTTTCCATCTTTATCAGAAGAAAATTATGGTTATTGAACCCAAACCAAACATCACAATACCACCGTACGTATGTTGTTGCTCCTGCATGAAGTAGACGAGCCTTAAGCTACTTTGGTTTTATTTTGTTTAACAACATAAGATTGGGATATCCCTTGACTACGCTTCTGACAATCTCAAAGGCTCTTTAGTTAGTAAGTTACACTTACGTTTCACAGTTTTGACTATTCATAGCAGGAGAGAAATGGAAGGCATCATCATCAACTTAATCATCTCATTCGCATCATTAACAAGACAAACGAAAATGAGTATCATCTCTCCTGTCCCATAATCTAATCAAGTATGGAGAGAGCTCTTCAGTCTAATGGTTTTGGCCTTCTGAGAAAGATCGTCTCAAGACCATTAGACGGAAGATCCCCTAACTACTACAGCTAGTTTCTTTTTTTTTTTTTACTCAAGTTTGATTCATTTCTCTGTATTTAATTACCATTTTTTAGATAACACTTTTTATTGATTAATAAGTTTCGCATTTCGACTTTGAAGAAGAAAACTTAGTAAATATAATCAAGTAACAGGGAAAAGTATAATCTGAATTGTGTCAATTAGATGGTGAGATCATTGTAGTTGCAAACTCAGAGACAACAGAAGCAAAAACAACTTTTTTTTTTGTTGAAATTTTCTAAATTAATTCTACAAAATATAAACTAATGTGGATAAAAATAGTAATTGAAGTTAATACGTAAAATTTTCAAAACTAAGATTTATTTCTGTTAGCTGCTGATTTTATCAATCGAAATTAAAAATATTTGGGCAAACATTATTTTTGTTTTAATTACAAACTTAACAATTTATGAAAACTTAGAGATTTAAAAAAAAAATAGAAAGTCTCATAGAAAATATTTAAAAATAAGCATGCATAAGATTTTTTCTATATTTTTTTACTTTTCAAGGAAAAGAAATGTTAATTTGTTAAGCGATCAAAACTATACTTAACTAAACGAACCTAAACAAAAAAGGAAAAAAGTTTCCTAATTATCAGTTTTTTACTTTTCTTCTCTCATCAGTCTCGGAAAAAAGGAAATAACGATATAAGGACTAAATCATAATTGTAAACTTACCTATCTATAATATTCCATTAACAAAAAGGAAAATTTTCACAACGGCTATAATTAGTTACTAATCACAGTAATTAACCTCACTAAACTCAAACCGTCAAACGAAATTACAAAAACCCTAACTTTAATGTAACCAAACAACTCAAATATTATATAAGGCAAGAGAGCCTCTCCTCATTCTCATTTTCACTCAGTTTCATATCTCTATCTCTCTCTCTACAATTTCCTTGCGCCTCACGTTTCAATTTGCTCTCAGAAGAAACTTGAGTCTCTGGTTCGATCACGATGAGTAGTATGAATCTCACAGCTTCAGAGAAAGATATGTGGTCGAACTTTTGTATACTGGTGGATGCGGCTGTTATGGTATCTGAAGACGAACAACGTTGTCGCAAGATTGTGTCTCACGAAGAAGAAGAAAGCTTTAAGAGAATCTTTTGTCTTGTCCCGAGAAAAACAAGGTCTTCTTTGTTGAAGAGACGATACAAACAACAAAATCTTAGTAAAGCACTTATCGATCTTAACGAGTTCCCTACTGATTCTGAGACAGAACAATGTTTCATCGCCTCTGATTTCGAGACAAAACCCTTACTAAACCCTAGTTCTGAACCTTGTTCTTCACTCTTACTCTTAGACTACAAGACTTCTGAGTTCGAGAAGACGGAGACGAAAGAGACACTAAACCCTAATTCCCCATGTTCTCTGTCTTTGTGCTTACCGGATAACAAAAGCCGCAAGAGACGTGCCGTGCAAGAGAGAAAGCGTAGTGGTGGATACAAGAAAGCAAAGGTTTCACCTTTATCACAGACGACGAAGAGAGAGGTACCTGAGTGGCTTGTCGAGGTGATGAGAGATATGAACGGAGCCAAAGACGCTAAACTAATCTTTGAGAAGACTCTCTTCGTGACTGATGTAAACCCAACACAGAACCGTCTCTCAATGCCTTTCAACAACTTACTCCGAAACGACTTCTTAACCCCTGTGGAGTCAAGAATCATAGACGAAGACATCAACAACAACAAGAAGATTGGAGTTGGAGCTATCCTCGTGGATCAATGGTCTAAAAAGTGGGGTGTGATGTTGAAAAGATGGGAGATGAAGAAAGATTCAGGTAGAGGAAGCTGGAATTACAATTTGATTTGTGGTTGGAACGACATCGTTGAGGCTAATGGATTAAAAGACGGCGACAAGATCACTCTTTGGTCTTTCAGGTGCTGTGGAATCCTCTGTTTTGCCATGGAACAGAGTTGCTCTTCCCTTGCTCTCTGTCTCTGCTAAGTGTCTTTGTGTCTGTTGAGAGAGACTATAACCTGATTGATCAACACGCACAGAGATCTACTATGGAGGTTTTTAGGTATATATAGTAACTTCTTGGAACTTTAGTTAACAAAACTAGGGCATTACTACGGTTGTGAACTATTAGTAACTTGTTCTTTCTATTGTTTCAGATTATGAACTTAGCATTTTCATTACATGAATCTAGTTTGTTGTTTGGTCTTACTTCAGTTACTGCGTTGTTACCTTTCTGAATTCTCAAAGTCTTTTGTTTTTGTTTGGTTTTTTAGTAAAGGTGTTTTGACTTTGTTTCTCGTTTCTAAATTATTCCCAACACATTCTAATTTTGTGTGCAGATGTGCCTTGTAATCTAACTTATAGAACTTAAAAGGATTCATTGAACCAAGAAATCATTTAACCAACTTAGGTTTTGTTTTTTTTTTTTTTATCGCAACTTTTATAATTAGAACATTTCAGAACCCCAAACTCTGGAGCTAAAAGAGTTTTATAGTTAATATTTTGTAACAAATATATACTTTGTCCAAAATAATAATTATACACATTATTAAATATGATCCATTTTCACGTTTATTAATATATATATTTTTACATTAATTGAGTATTATATAGTGTATTAAATCTCTGAAAAGATGATGAAAAAAAACATATGAAAAGAACTTGTATTAGAATTTAAATTTTATACGAAAACACCTTTTAAATGAACTAATAAAATGCTAAGGTGACAATAAAAAGCAGATGACACTTGGAAGTCTATTTTATATGTTATAAAACACACATATGTAAAATATTGTACTTATATTTTGCTTATATTTTACATAAATTATGCTAAATTTTTTTTTGGTTAATTAGGGATCAAAAGATTACAATTTTGAAAGTGACTTATTGTAGTTTGAATACATCACCTAATAATTTGTATACTTAACAATACTCTCTGTTTATTTTATTTTATTTTTATTTTTCAGTAGGAATATTCTCTATATTAGTATGAAATTGGGTATTTTTTCTATGAAAATGTATGAATTAGTTTTTAATGTTTCTAATAACAATAATGTGATTTTGTTTAACAGAGTAATGCATACTTAGCTGTGTGCAATACCCTGTTAATATTGCATTACCCTCTTAGATAATGTATACTTAGCTCGGACAGGTTTTATACAAACGAGTGACAATATTGTCATAGTTCCGATTTCTTCTTTAGCACCCAGCTATGTATGCATTACACTGTTAAACAAAATCACATCATTGCTATTAGAATTATAATATGCGTGTTGAATTAGTTTCTAGATTTTATATAGAAAATATTTTTTATAATAAATTTAAAAATTATTGTATTTAGTTTTTTTTTTAATAAAAAAGTTATAAAAAAAATTATTTATTAGAATTAGAAAAATATTAGTTAACGAAATGTGTAAGCGTTGTCTTGTACTTTAAGTGGCTCTCATATCTGAACAATTTTAAAATATGTATTTTACTCATAGGATATTTCATATACAAAACAGAACTGATGATACCACCAGTTTCAGTTTTTACAGTCACGACGATACGCAATGGTAAGTATGTGTTTAGACTTTAGATACATAATTGTTTTACTAATTGTTTGGCTAGAAGCTACTAATTGTTTTACTCAACGAGTCATATTTTCCCTAAACTTAAATTATTATCGTTTTTGTTTTTTATAACTGTGTTCCCATTATTTTATTTTGAAAGAGTTTCAATATTTTGTTTATTGCTTAAGAAGTTCAGTATATAATCTGATATAATTAAATTAAACAAAAATATATAACGAAGATATACAACAATTGGCAGCATTCTATACACTATGTAATGTTTTGAAGCATTTCTATCTTTTTTTCATATTGGTTTTAGTTTACAATTATTTTTATAGGTTCACAAAACATCTAAAAAATTATTAGCTCTGAATTACTTTTATATGTAGTTTATAATATGCAATGTAAATTATACTCTATATGTACATCAAATACTTTGTAAACTTTATGAACAATCACACCTACAATTTATATTTTATATAATTCAATGTAAACTGTACTCAATATATCAAACAATCAAACACATATATGATATACCATAATCACAAATTAATAAATAAAAAATATAAAAACAACTAAATACATGCAACCATCTACTTATACTATATGAGACAAAATCATTTTTACTCACAGTTCATAATGTGATATATATAGATACTATTGTATATGAAAAATCAAAGCTTAAACTCCTTCCACAAGGTTTTAAAAAAAAAAAAAAAAAAAAACTCCTTCCACACAACACAGAGCTTCACAGAATCTCAGACCACACATGTTTCACGTGGCTTCTCTGGCCTACTATATATGTATACTTGTCATCATAAGAAAACGAATTTGTATGTATTCTATACATGAACATCATTGGAGATTATATTTATATTCCTTACGTGATATCACAATAAGACGAATTTAAACCACTTTAGATATTTCTTTTCTTCCCTTGTGTGTTAAACATGGATGTATTATGGAATGTCAATTCAAAATGTGGAATTTACCGAGTGGTACTACCTCAATTGGTAAAGATTTTTGTCAAAAGTTTAGAGTTCGCCAGTTTGAGTAGCGCTTGAAACGAAACCATATAACATGCTCTGATCTCGGACATGAGAAGATGTATGGACTTATACACCAAGAGGTCTGGGGTTCGAGTCCCAGATAATGCGATTTATTAATAATTATGCACATTAAACAAGGCAAATTTATAGGAGATCCCATGCGATGCGCAATTATAGTCGTTCGCCGTGATTCTAACTATTGAAGGGAAGAAAGTGTTCAAGATCAACTTGGAGAAGGAAGGTGACCAGGATTAACATGGAGTGTTGTCAATAGTGAATCTAATCGAATCAGAAGTAATTGCCCATAGTAGAATTTGCTTTGTAACAGTTATAATAATTTGCAATAATTAATAAATCTAAAGACGATAAAAAAAAACCACAATCTAATAACACCCCTAAGCTTCGACATAGAATATAGTTTAATTGCAAAATCTAAACAATAATTCTCATTTTTAAAGCTAAACCATAATTCTCATTTATAAACCCAAACCAATATTATAACCCGTACTAATTGTATAATCTAAAACTTGATTTTCCTTTATAGAAAAACAGGCATATAGTCACGTTCGTGTTCATATCTAATTTTGTTAATATTTAGATAAAAATAGAAACATACTTAAACCTATCGTAAAAGGAAATATAAAAAATAAGTATTAAAAAAATTCTATATTTTTAAAGCTAAACCATAATTCTCATTTATAAACCCAGATCGACATTATAACTCGTTTTAATTGTAAACTCTAAACTTTGATTCTCCTTTATAGAAAAAACCGACATATAGGACTCGTTTAATTGTAAATAAATCTAAGCTTCTTAAGAAAGACATAGCTAAAAATAGGTTAATATTTTTAATTTATCAAAATTTTCTAAAGTAGAAAATCTTTTTAATACTTATTTTTTATATTTCTTTTTACGAGAGGTTTAAGTATGTTTATATTTTTATCTAAATAATAACAAAATTAGGTACGAACACGTGACAACATCTTAGTTTATTTGATACATGCCACAATCTTGTGAGTTATTAACTTTTGAATTTGAAACCAAACTTTATATAATAAGAGATATGCTAATGACACATTTTTGTTGTAAATAAGTTCAAAATCCAACACTTTTTTCAAAATGTTAATAATAGATTCGAACTGTGCCTCTGGGTCTCTCGTCCAACATTGGATTGGTTATTGGGCTTTTAAAGTCCAAATTAGTGGGCTTAAAACGAGCTGGCCCAAAATATTTTAAAACGTCAACGTTTTTAGAAACTCAATCTCAGTTTTCTCTTCTTCTCAATCGACGAAGGCTAAAGCTTCATCTCACAAAATTTTTGAGCTTCATCTCAATCGTGCCAAGGCTAAAGCTTCATCTCCCAGGTATAAATCTCATATAAGATAATTGGGTTTTTGAAAATTTCCATTTCGAGTTATCTCCATGAATCTGATTTCGTTAAAAATCCCATCTTTTGAGCAGGAGAAAGAGAGAGAAGCAGTTTTGGTTTACAAGGCTGCATAGTTTCTGACGGTAGAGACTAGAGCAGACCTTGAACGCCTCCGTATCTGCGTTTCTCTTCGCTCAGATCCCAGGAAAAAGGTTTCAGCTTTGATTTTTAACCTCGTTTTCCGATTTGGGTGTAAGGTTGTGGTTTGAAATAGGTGAAAATTTGAACCAAGTCATCAACTTTTTTCGATTTTGGTTTCCATTTCGTTTTAACGCCTTCAAAGAGAGGGAAATATGCAAAAGGCTTAAGCTTTTCTCGATTTTGGGTCTAAAGTTTGGGTTTGCTTCAGACTTTTTTATTTATTTAGTTTTGGGTTTGACTTCAAAGAGATGCATTTCGTTTATCAAGTTTTATTGTGTGTTTCAGCTTCTGTTTGATCTAAGCCAAGTTATGTTTTCAAATCTCAGCTCTGTTCTGATCAAACATTGCAGAGAATATGCCAAGAACGACCCGAATGGCAGTAAGACACTAAACATACTTGAAGCAGTTCAGAAACTTTGCAGAGACAGTGGAGTCCACTAGTATATTTAGTGTAGTAGATTGATGTCAAAGTATGGGATTTGGCTGTCAATATAAACTTGTAGTTATATGGATCTTGTCTTGGAATAAGACTGCTTTTAATTATATATGAAAGTCAGTCCTTAAGTTAGCTCTACATTGGCTTGTCTTGGCGTGATCTTGTCTTGTGTCTGCTTCAGTTTCAACCATTTCGCTTTCAATATGCTAAATATCAGTTATGATGTTTCAGTATGGATTTTTTGTCACTAGAAAGAGTTGCTATTCTAAATGCTGAAAATGAACACATGGAGATGGAGATGGACATGAATGAAGAAACAGAAACTCATGGACAAGCACAAGCACAAAGTATCACTCAACCAACACAACCAGCTCGAGTACAACCAGCCCGACGATCTCGCAGAAGAACTCCACGTATTCAACCGGTACGTCCAAAACGTCTAAAAGCTAATATGTTGGAAAGAGTTTACTTCTGTAGGAATAGAGGAAGATGGTAAAGAAAGGGCTAAATGTCACCACTGTGGTATTAAGTTAGTAATAGATACTAAGTCATATGGAACATCAACATTGAACCGCCATTTAGATTTATGTCCAAATAAACCTCCATCTGTTGATAGGCCTGAATATGATCACAAAATTGATAGAGAGATGATTTCTGAAGCAATCATATATCATGATCTACCGTTGTATCCGGATTGTCAAATTTCTGACAAGCAAATCTCAGTTGAAAGGAGATTGGTGATCATTAATATGTTTAGGATCACTTAGCTAAGCTAAAGGAGATTGGCAGAACCGCAGAAGCATATCTTTGAGGATGAACCATAATCTCAATTGAGGTTTAAACATATTCGTTACCTGGCTACCACGACGAATCTTGTTAGTAACAGAAACAATTCAGATGCGAGTTTGCCAATCACTCCCTTCAGGTCAGACGAAATCAAGAACCGTCAAGCTAGAAACGAAAAAGCTGTCAACTTTAACAACGGGGATCATTCAGCGAACAGAGGATCAGAGAGCGGACTAGAGCATTGTGTGAAGGTCATAAGACAACTCGAGTGTTCAGGACACATTGACAAGAATTTCAGGCAGAAGTTTTTGACTTGGTACAGTCTAAGAGCGACGTCACAAGAGATTAGAGTTGTGAAGATATTCATCGACACGTTCATTGATGATCCCATGGCTTTAGCTGAGCAGCTCACTGATACATTCGAGGATCGTGTTTCGATCAAGCGCTCAGGGAACGGTGGTAGCGGCGGTGCGTCTGCGGTTGTTCCATCTGGATTCTGTATGAAGCTGTGGCATTAGAGGAACGGGGCCTCTCTCTCATATATGGGTTTAAAAATCGTTCTTTTATTTTAGAGCTTCTTTCTTGTCATTTTCAAAACTTTATTCTAATTATTGGGAAATTTGCATTATTGGAACATTTCCATGCAAGAACAGTATTCTATTTCTTTCATTAAATATAAAAAGTTAATTACAAATCTATAGATTTCCAAAACCTTTTAGATTTTGAAACTATTACAATTTACAAACAAATTTTGTATAGTATAACTAACCCATCATAAAAGATTTGAATCATTTAATTACACTTTGACCCAAAAAAAAAGATTTCAAAGAATTAAATTAAAGATTACCTTCCAAACTAATTTAAGATATCCCATATTAAATAATAAAGATTACCTTCCAAAATTAAATGATATGTTGACCAAGAAAGGATTAAAGTAATTTATGTTATATATGCTAACTAAAACTTTTTGTTGACTACGTTTGTATATATCTACAGGTGTATATATATACATTGAGAAACACATAATGTGTATTCATCCATTGAAAACAAGAGTGAAAAAGATAGTTAAAATTAGCACAAATAAGAGTGACAAATACAAAATCCACACCAAAAGAATCATGAAATCTGTTACTTTGTTGTTGGTTTCTTGCATTCTTGTGTCTTTCATTATGGGACATGTCAAAGGTATAATCCAAAAACCCCTAATCTTTTGTCAACTACAATGTATGTTTTTTTTTTTTTTCTCAAAAACAAAGGGTTTCTACGCATGGTGTTTTAGTCCTCAATAATTAAGATCTGATTTATGTTGTTGTTGATATATAAAAAATTAACAGAAGTGGAAGCTCAGAAGGATATATTCTTGGGAGGATGCGGCAAGGACGGAAACAAAACATGCATAAACGACTTTGTTAAGAAAGGAGCCAATAAGCCTAGTAGTTGCGAGTGTGATGACTTCGGCGACGAACATTTATGTCGATGTGTCATGTAATGTTCCTTGCTAGTTTTTTTCTTTTGAATTTGTTGTAGTCCAACAAATATAATTTACTATGAATAATCTAATACATAATAAGGAAACTGGTTTTTATTATGATATGAAATTCTGAATCTTTTTCAATGTTGGAAAAATCATAAAGAAGATAGACTTAGATTACGTTTTGTTTTCCTTAAGACCCTCTGCATCCATTTCATAGTCACTTCTTAGATTATAACATCATAAATTATATAAACATTGTTACAATATTTGTTTCAGAATGAATTTAAAGATTAAGTTCCACAAAAATAATTAAAGATACACATTAATTTTGATTTATACGTTTAAGAAACATTCATGATTCGTCATTGAGTGTATATCTCCTAGGTCGTGTAAACTATTATCTCAGAAGATCTCTAAAAGTTCAACTAAATTTATTAATACGTTAGTTAGATAAAATCAAGATTAAAATAGAAAATATTTCTTAGCTGGCCTAATTTTGACTTAAATCACCAACCTCGATCGATCTAGAGATATGCTTCTACGGTTCTGCCAATTTCCTTTGAGAGGTTGCTTCTGACGACGAATCTTGATTTTATTAAACCTCCAATTGCATGATGAACCTCAATTGCACGTACACCATCTAGATTTAGCTTAGCTAAGTGATCTTAATCCTAACCTTTGAAAGAAGCTTAATCTCTGACAAGCAAATCTCAGTTGAAAGGAGATTGGTGACAAGAATGGCACCAGGTTTACCAAAGTCAAAAGGTACAGTAAAATCAGCTGTGAATTCAAGGCACCTCACAGCCTTTGGGAGTCCAAGCACCGGACTTTACAAATTTTTCGCAGAGAAACCAACCAAGACGCTATATAGTTTGCTGAGAGTATTAAAGGATTAGTTTCAGGGGAAGTTGAAATGAAGTGACTTGAATTACTAGTGTGATCAGACATCATGCATTTCTATTCGTTTATGTACAATCTTGCATCTCTCTTCTTGTCACTAGGCAGCATACTTGGATCTTTGAACTAGCTGAGTTCCCAAAACATGCTGATGTTTGTTCTTTCTTAACAACCATATATATAGACTACTTTTCATCCTCAATGATCTTGCTTATACAAGTACGCTTCATAACTGTTCTAATGGCCACTTGAAGGTTGCTGCCTATATAAATTTGTGATTTGACAAGTACCTATGTTGGTTGGCATCTTTGGACTAATCCTTAACTAACCGTGAAATTATTGATGGTTTCAGGTTGTGGTAACACTGTCTGCATACTAGCTTACTAGCTAGACATGGTCTTGGTCAAATAGTTGTACTGTCCCATATTCTCTTGGCTCTTGCAGGGAAAGTTAACTGACGGAACTGTCTTTGATTCAAGTTTTTGAGAGAGGTGACCCTATTGAGTTGGCTGATTTAGACAAGACTTGGCTGAGTTTGATGTCAAGAAGGCCCTTGAAATCGATCCCAACAACAGGTTCCCTCTCTCTTACTCTTATAACCCTCTTATCTATACCAGATTTAGCTTTGATATCTTTTAATCCAGAGTTGCAATGTCTTCTTCATACACTAAAGTCAACGACGTTATATTTGCTATTTGATTTTCGAATGACAGGGAAGTGAAGCTGGAGCAGAGAAAGTTGAAGGAGAGAATGAAGGAGTTCAACAAAAAGGATGCCAAGTTTTACGGAAACATGTTTGCAAAACTAACTGTAAGTATCTCTATAGATAACCCAATGGTTTGATCATATCTTGTTACACGAAGATGAAAACATGATGATAACCAAAATCTGTATTGGTGGGAATTTATTTGCAGAAGGAATCATCAAAAGATGGAGAGCCCATGAACACCTAGAGTCTTGAAAAAACGTTCTAAAAGAACTCTGCATTTTCATTTTCTTCTCGTTCCCTTTGTTGCAATGTTATTTTAGTTTTATCAAACTGAGCGTTAGTGACATTTATAAAACAGAAGACTTGATTTAGAGATTAAACGCATGTGTTGTTTCTTTCTTCTGCTATTGGTAGAGTACATGGAACTATCTAAGTGCAAAAGCCTAACTCTCAAGAATCACTTGTGTTCTTGTTATGGTATCGAGTATATCTACAGTTCATGTTACATCTAATGATCTAATCCTTGAGTTGACCTAGTGTAAGAATCTGAAATAACATGCATTGGTATGGAACGGTGGATACGTTCATCTTAGGATTCAATTTTCAAGTTCGTCGACCTGTCTCTTCCGTATTCTCGCGAGATGTTTGAATATATATGCATCTTGATGAGATTTTTGTGTCCACACATATCCGCATTGAATAAATATGAAAGAGATGTTTGAATATATCTCCGCACTGAATGCACCTTGACGTTGTAGGAAATATAAAACTCTAGTCATACGTTTTAAACACTGAATCCACCTTTACATATATGTGATATGATCATGGTGAGGAATTAATCTCAATTTCGGCACTTGGAAGATCTGGAGTTTATATTCTCGAATTAGAGATGATACACAACTCAAAGACGAGATGATATATTGAATGACGCTACAAAAGGATGCGGAAAAGCCTTATGATAAGTAAAAAGAAAATCAAAATTCGACATACGAAAACAGATCCATGATCTATTTTTAAGAGAGGTTAAGATAACATATTTCATGTACAAGCTCATTTCCTATATATTTTTTTGTGGTATTTTTGGAAAAAAAAACAATTGTGATATTTTTATAAAAAAACTTAAAAAGTAGTATATAAAGGTAATTCTCTTGTTTATATATATATTTTTTTGGTTGAGAAAATTGTTTAAAATATATCTGTTAATTGCAAAGCGTACAAGGTTTGTTTTAGGAATATTTAGATTTTATATTATTTCATCTAAAATATCGGAAAGTATCTATATTTATAATCAAATATATGGTTAATTAAAAAAATGTTTTCCTTAAATGGAAACTATTTTTGACTATGACGGAATGTTCTTGTTTATCAATGCGTCAAATATAGAGATGCATACGAGTGGCTCCGCTAAACTTGTACGATCTTTGATCTATCTTTTTGTGTTGAAAACCCAAATTTTGCTTATCTATACTATTAATTGGGTTTGCAAAAAATGTAGCCAAACAGATCCTAATATTAAAAAAATTCATAAAACTTATACTTATTGTCAAACATAATTCATGACAGCAAAATATATTTTCCAAGAAAAAAAATCAGCTTTAAAAGATAAAATCAAAACTAATACCTAACCAATAATCATGGAAAATAACCCGGCACGTATGTGCGAGTCCATCACTAGTTCTTTATGTAGCCTCTTCTTTCTTTGATTCTTTCTAGGATGGGGGAGAATAAATTGGGTATACCGAAGCATCACTCAACCTTCCTAATGGTGGAACTTCTTTCGAAACACACATCATCATGGTGAAAGACTCCAAGGCCTTGCACTTGTGCATTACCTAACCGTGGTACCAGCCCAACATCTTCAAGAAGGAGAGGAGAACGTTGTTGTTGAAGATGGTGCTGATGAAGACGGTGGTGCTTGAAAAGATCCAGCCCGTTTTTTTTTAACATGCAAACCGGATTAACTCAAACCAACTAAACCATCCTAATCAATTTAAATCATTATATTCCAAATTAAACCGATCAACCAACAATCTATATATACATTCTTGAAGTACATTTGGTACTAAAATCTATTTAGGTTTATAACATTTTTATTTTATAATATTTGCATAATCAAACCCTTGCCAATTGAATAAATAACAAAACTTAAAAGTAAATTTTGTAATTAAATCACAAGCAAATCGTAAAGTTGGAAACAAATATTATTACATCAAAAAGATTTCCTAAAATCTCTTTCTTTAATAAATCGAATCTCTCTTCAATATATTTATATAATCTTATTTTTTTTTAATTTATATTATTACATAAAATATATTTATAATAAAAATAAAAAAAAATTTCAAATGCAATTTAAATTTTTGAAAACGGACTTATATAACTCAAACGGTAAAGGAAAAAATATATGTACAACGTCTACATAAGATAAAAATACTTTTAATGACAAAAAAAGGTAAAAAGTTTTAGATAATAGTTCAAAACCATTATATATAGTACTAATATGTTCACAAATACAAATGAACATGAACTTTGATTTCTTAGGTAACCAAATTAAAAAATTTATTCAGTTTAATCTGGTTCTTTACATAAGAAAAATAAAACTTTTAAAAAGTTTCAAAATATTATAAAATTTAATTTTTAAAAAGTTTAAATTATTATAAATATCAAAACTTTTAAAAGCTGCAAATTATAATATTTAATTTTAAAGTATTATAGAATATTTAAAATATTTAAAATCTAAAAATATTTAAAATATAAAAATATTGTAAATAAATATGATTGAAGGGGTATGATTATATTTTTCTTACAAGTTGTCTATATTAAAATTTGTTTACGGGTTAAGTTAAAATATAAATTTTTATTTACAACAAATCATCCCGCGGGTTTTTTTTGGTGGGAAGTGTATGGCGGATTGACTACATATATATATGAGTCTACTTATTATACAAATTCATAAAATTATATAAATTAAAATAATATAAACACGTATAAAACTAGACTATATAAACCAATTTCGAAAATGATTAATCAAACAAATATATTAAATTAGGTAAATCCTAGTTTCCAATATATTCAAAAGCGCAAGTGTACTTTCTCAAAAATGTTAAGCGTACTTTCTCAAAAATGTTAACAATTTCCAATTCAACCAACAACGACGATTTGCTAAGCGTACTTTCTCAAAATGTTAAATTACCACACAAAAAAAACAATCTAGATATGTAAAATGATGAAAGTTCTACAACAAAGCATTGGGGTAAATCATCAAAGGAGCCAGTTTATACATTAAAGAAATAACTACAAAGTCTTAAAAAACCCCCAAAAAAAAAAGATGAATCTATCGGTGTAGACACCATTTTTTATTGAATCGAAATAGATTGCAAAAATTAATAATTTCTATGTAAAGATTACAAACATAGTGTTAGATTTAAAAATTGTGATAACCTATTAAAGTTCGTAGAAAAATAAAAAAAAACTATAATATGCAATTATATTGATGAATAAACTTATACTATATGAGACAAATAAATGATAATCACAGTTCCTAATTATGAAACACTAAATGAGAAAATCAAGCTTTAAGTCCTTACACAGAGTATCACATACCACACATGTTTCACGTGGCTTCTCTGGCCTACTATATATACGTGTTATCATAAGAAAACGAATTTGTATGTATTCTATACGTGAACATCATTGGAGATTATATGTATATTTCATACGTGATATCACAATAATTAGACGAATTTAAACCACTTTGGATATTTATTTTTCTTTCGTGTGCGTTAAACATGCATGTGATATATATGGAGGAAATGTCAAATTCAAAATGTGAAACTTGAATTTTTTTAAGGATGGCCACATAAATTCAACTATACAAACATGTGATGACTAATAACTCGTACAACTCATGTCGTTTTGCTTATCATGTATGGTGTGAATTTTACGTATAGACTTTATCAACAGAGACTTCAACGAAAAATCAAAACTATAAGGACACTAACGAAACCCCACAAAGTTGATGGTGTCTTTGGATCTTATCAAGCAGTACTAAGCTAGCTCCATATATAGCTAACTATCCTTTAATTTGATTCCTAGTAGTACATAGCACATGGAGTATTAAAGGACCTTTTGATTAGTTATCTATGGAGCTAGCTTAGTACTTGATTAGCTATGGAGCTAGCTTAGTCCCTGATTAGCTATGGAGCTAGCTTAGTGTTTGATTTGCTATCAAACGACCTTTTTACCTTTCTTTAACTCTGAGGTACGTAGTTCTATTGCGTAAGTATGACTAAATTTGAGTGACGTATTTTTTTAATACAAATATAAAGTAAAAAAAAGGGTCGTTACGTTTAATATTCTATCGTCGAAGTGGTTGTGAAACTTAGGCAACATTTTTATGACATTTATAATGCATACATATAGTGAACGAAAGCTACATTGTATTACCTCATAGCTCATACCTTACTACTTACTATATATATACGCCTTAAAGGAAGCTACATTCTCATTATCTCATACCTCAAACAAAACAACCACCATGATTCTTATCTTTAGTACTCTCCAATTTTCTCTCTTCTCTTTGGCCCTTGCAACCGTCGGTTATATTTTTCTTAGAAAAAGATTGAGTAAATGTGAAGATGAGAGCGTAACCATCCCTGAGCCATCGGGGGCTTGGCCTTTATTCGGACACCTCCATCTTCTGCGCGGTAAAGACCTCATTTTCAAGAAACTAGCTGCCATGTCCGACAAACTCGGTCCTATCTTCTCACTCAAGTTAGGGTTTTATAAGCTGGTTGTAGCCAGCGACCCTAAAACGGTGAAAGATTGTTTCACCACCAACGACTTGGCTCTAGCAACCAGGCCTAATATAGCCTTTGGTCGGTACGTAGGCTATAACAATGCAATTCTGGCGCTGGCTCCTTATGGAGACTATTGGCGTGAGTTGCGTAAGATTTCCACGGTTCATCTATTCTCAAACCAGAGTATAGAGATGCTTGGCCATGTTCGTTCTTTTGAAGTAAACGCGTTGATGAAACACTTATACAAAGAGTGTGGTGGTACGTCTACGGTGAAGATTGACATGTTATTCGAGTTTTTGACCTTCAATATAATCCTTAGGAAGATGGTCGGGAAGAGGGTTGGATTCGGCAAAGTGAATAGCGAGGAATGGCGTTATAAGGAGGCGATGAAGAACAGCGAGTACTTAGCTGTGGTTCCTATGATAGGCGACGTAATTCCATGGCTAGGATGGTTAGATTTCGTGAAAATTTCTCAAATGAAAAGAACGTTTAAGGAGCTTGACGTAGTCATCACCAAATGGCTCCAAGAACGTCTCAAGAAGAGATCAAGAAATGAGAAGGATGGAGAAAAGACAATCATGGATCTACTTCTCGACATCTTACCAGAAGATATTGTGATATGTGGACATGAACGCGATGTCATTGTGAAGGCAACAATTTTGGTATGTACAGTTTCACAACTCTTGTTATTCTTGGATACAAGATTTAACTCACAACATTATAATGTGTTTTGAAATGAACTGTTCTGTTTCTTGTTATAGGTTCTCACATTAACGGGATCAGACAGCACATCCATTACTCTGACATGGGCCGTATCACTGCTACTAAACAACCCATCTACTTTAAAAGCAGCACAAGAAGAGATTGAAAAGTGTGTCGGGAAAGGTAGATGGGTTGAAGAATCTGACATAGGAAACCTTAAGTACCTACAAGCTATTGTGAAGGAAACTCACCGGCTTTACCCACCAGCTCCTCTTACAGGTTACAAATCAAAGTTTCTCAAATGTCTTTCTAATTCTTGTTTATCTTGTAAAATCTTATAAACCTATTAATTGATGAACTGATCAGGAATACGCGAAGCAAGTGAAGATTGTTTTGTGGGAGGGTACCGTGTTGAGAAAGGCACACGTTTGCTAGTCAACATCTGGAAACTTCATAGGGATCCCAAGATTTGGACTGACCCCAAAACCTTTAAGCCTGAGAGGTTCATGGATGAGAAATCACAATGTGGAAAGAGCGACTTTGAGTACATTCCTTTCAGTTCAGGGAGAAGGTCTTGTCCAGGGATCAATCTTGGTCTAAGAGTTGTTCACATCGTGTTGGCTCAGTTGCTTCAAGGGTTTGAGTTACGAAAAGTTTCTAATGAACCATTGGATATGGCTGAAGGGCCTGGTTTAGCCTTGCCAAAGATTAACCCGGTCGAAGTGGTTGTAATGCCTCGACTTAACCCTGAGTTGTACTGTTTACTCTAAACCATTATGTAATATGTACTCCATAAGTATTTGAAGCTTTTCGTTTATTTTCATAATATAACAAAACAGTATAAATCTATAAGTCCTATAAACTGAAAGCATCTTCTTAAAGATATTAAAACATCTTCACTTCTCCATTAGATTAGTTTTAGATTCTTTTGTTTTTTTAATGTGAACAATATTTACCAAAACAAATATTTTAGTGTAGATCAAGAACTTGACGTAGCGATAGAGGTTTAGACTTGTATCCCCTGAAACTGCAGAATCATTGTTCTTAAAATTATTCTGATGCAAAAGTAAAACTTTCATTAGGCTGCAACTGTGACTAAGCTTATCAAAAGCATTGACCAGTATCAGGCCCGACCCGAGTCTAAAGCCCGTGAAGCAAGGGTTTTAGGCAGCAAATGAAAATAAAACATTTTAGGGTATCAACTCACAAAATGTTATTATGGTGCGGTGGTTTTATGCATTAATTTTTTCTGGTACGGGGTTAAAATCTTGAAAATTGCTATTTTTAGCATCTTTATTTTAACTCATTTAATGGGTTGATCAAAAAACCATTTTTTTGCTTTAAGCAGCCAAATTACTTGAGCCGGCCCTGATCATAATCACACATCTCTCACATGAAAGGACATGGCAAGGGCAAGTTTGAAGACACATTGCGAATGGTTTGCAACAAGGTGTCTCTAATGTGCATCAAATATAAACATGAATTTTTTTGTTGGATAAAGTTTAAGTTTATACAAAAAAAAATTAAACAATATATTCTAAAACGGAGGGAGTATGTTTTGGTGAACATTCTTGGTTTTAGCTTAATTTAAAGACACACAAAAAAAAAAAAAAAAAATCCCATCTGTTTTAGCTGTTCTCTTTTGGGTAACATGTTTCATATTGTTCTCTTTTACTTATCTTGCTCTTCTTAAATAAAGCCGAATTCAGTAGTACAATTGTTTATTTCTACAAAATAACATTTATCTTTGAAAGTCAGTCTTTATAACATATTTTTTAGAACTTGTAAAGATACATATACAGTAAAACCTCTATAAATTGTTAATTTTGAGAGATTTTCCAAATTTGGAAAGTTTTTCAAAAAATATCTTTAAAAATAAGATTTAATCATGATAATTAGTATTTTATATAATCAGTTACAAAGAAAATAATAATTATTATGTCTTGAAAGAGAATGCTAACAATTTTTGATATACAATAGTAAAATATTAGAAATAAACTCTAACAAAAATTAATGTGTCTATATATACATATATTTGGAAAATTTTACCTAATTATTAATCTATAATATTGATGGGACCATATATTTACAAAAGATTTTCAAAAAACATATTATCTTATTATTTTATTAAAATGTGTGTAAAATTACATTGGTCTCAACTTGGGACCGGAAAATTTTATAAATTTATAAAGATTATTAATTTATCGAGTATTAGTTTATAAAGGTTTTACTGTAGGCCTCATGGCGAGAGAAAAAAGTGTACCGAAAAAGACTCATAAAACAATAGAGTCCCCAAAAATAAGCATCATCTCTATCCTTACCTTAGAATCAGATTTTGTTTTTTTTCAAATATAGATTAGCTAAAACTAGCATCTCCTCTAAGCTCTATATACACCCATATACACATCTCACTTTTTTCTTACGTTAAAACAAAGAAATCACCAACGAGAGGAATAACAAAAAGAAAGAACAACCAACAAAATGAAGACATATATGATAATCTTGTTGGTGATTTTAAGCATCTTGATTGCAGGAAGAGTTGAGGCTAACGAACGTAAGAAGAAATATCTTAATCCAGGTGTAATCAACCGATGCTTACGTCCTAATCCTCCACCAGAATGTCATCAAAATAAACATATACCTCGTACCCCGGCTAACAAATACAGACGTGGTTGCACCAAGATCAACCGATGTCGCCGAGACCCATAATAATGGATATCCTAAGCATGAGAGATCTAATGACATATTTTTCATGTAACATATGCTACCAAGCTTAAGTCATGTTATGCATGGTGTTGTATGTGTTGCCAAAAAAATTCACATGATTGATCTTCTTCAGTATTGGTGATGGTCACGGGGGTTTGAATTTGATAAATTCATGTCATCTAGTAACTATTTTTTTTACGAAGCCAAATAATAATCTGGTGTATAGAAAATATACATGATGGGTTCTATTCTTTTCAACCAAAATATGTATAATGGGCTCAACCATGTATAAATTCTTTTATACATGAAAAAAAAAAAAATTATTTATTATTGAGTCGAATATTTTAGTCCAATTACTCAAGAGCTTGCCTAGACTGGCTCTTAATGTTATGTGTATATATAGCCAGAGATTGAAACTTCTGTGATGATTCATAAGTTGAGATCTTTTACATGTAGACGACTCTAAAAATGGATTGCAAGAGTAGTTTGTGCTAGAGATGAATGGTAAAGCTAATAATAATAAGAGAAACAAGAGCAACCTATATATAGGCTATGATTGTTTTCGGATTTCTACTTCTTCTTCTAATTTAGAGATTAAATTTTAGTCTAGAACTTAATTACTTGCATTGAACTATAATTTCATTTAAAATTAAAATGATGTGTAACTAAACATTATGTTTCGAATTACACTATACATTATTTTAGACTGGAGTTTATCAAACCAAATCAAAATATAAATAGTATTATATGATTTCTTATATAATAATAAAAATATATATACTAAACCAAAAAAATCGCATCAAAACTAAACCGTAAATCAATAAGTTACTCAAAAACCAGTATTCGGATTTTTCTGGTTCAACCGTGAACCGGACAGTTTCCATATAGACATGTACACATGTTTAAGAATGTATATTACACAATTAGTTACATAATTATGTGTAATTTACACATTACACATGTATCTAAAACAATTAATTACACATTTAAGTAAAATCGATTTGTGTAATTCAATTAAAAATATAAAACAAACCTTTTTATTCTGGTCCACGGTTCCAGATTTTGGCTTCCCAAGTGATTGAAAAAATCTTACAAAACAGGCAAATAATAAAAATATAGTCAAAAGACATAACTTTATTTCCTAGTAAAAAGGCATTCAAATCCCAAGATTTGCATTGTAGATTTGTTACCAAAGAAACCATCATCACCCACATCAAGATTCATTGATCAGATCAATCATCATATATAAAAAAACCAAACACAATCGCCACGTCATCGACCGCATGCCCTCGTCGTGTCTCCGCTCACTCACCAAAACGTACCCTTTGGGCTTTCACGGACGTCGCATAAAAGCTCTGACACAAAAACAACACACAACAAACACAACAGAGAGACAGAGAGAGAGATCGGAGAGAGAGAGATTTGTGTAATAATAATCATGGGGAAGACAAGAGGTGTCTCCGCCGTGAACGTGGTTTTCGGGTGGTTAAGACAACAATCTAACAAGGTTAAGATAGCTTTAGGAGTTGTCATCTATTTGATCCTCGTCGTGTTTTTGAGATTCACCGTTAAGAATCACAATCACTTCTTCGTCGCCTCTGAGCTCATCCACGCCGCTGGAATCTTGATCCTCATCTACAAACTCACTCGCCAAAAGACTTGCTCCGGTAATAACTAATCTCTATCGTACGTACCATAAGAGTGTGACAAATGTTGTGGAACCTTATATAAGCTCTTGTTTGGCTAGTGAATTAACATTTATGTGTTGTTGAATCTTTATAAGCTTATGATATTGGTTTTGGCTGATAATGTTGATTAGGTCTTTCTTTAAAGTCTCAAGAAGTGACAGCAATATTTCTTGCTGTGAGATTGATATGTAGCATATACATGGAAGGTGATATCCATACAATACTCGATTTCGCCACTTTGGTTTCGACGCTATGGGTCATTTATATGATTCGGTACAAGCTGAAAGCATCTTATATAAAGACTCTAGACACTTGCCACAACTATTATGTGGTAATGCTCTGATTTAAAAGAATGTGACAGTCTTGTTTGTTATTAGAGGCTAATATGTTTCTCTCTTTTTTGTGCTAACCAGCTTGTACCATCGGCTATCCTTGCGTTGGTTATTAACCCGAGTACGAGTTATTCTTACATCCATCGTATCATGTGGGCTTTTTGCGTTTACACAGAGTCTGTCTCTGTTCTGCCTCAGCTTCGATTGATGCAAAATGCTCAGGTTAGATGCTTTTGACATGTATATTTTAGATTGTGTTTTGTCAATGTATAGTTAGCATTTTATCCAATTATAATGGTCTAGTTGCTGAGTATTTGTCACTTTGGTCAGTGAAATGGATCGAGTCACACTCACTTTTTCACTTCTATGTTGGCCAATGTAGACGTTTCAAAGTTTCTTGCAAGTCTCGAGATTAGTCTAGAGTTAGATCCAAAGCTTAGGCCAATGTAGACATGTTAAGTGGTAACAAATTCTGGATTTCTACAAGTCTCTCGGGATTAGTCTAGACTTAGGTCCAAAACTGATTTCATTATAAGAATATCAAGCTTATAACACATTCTTGAACAATCGTTTCAGATCATAGAGCCTTTCACTGCTCATTACGTGTTCGCGCTAGGAATCGCAAGATTCTTGGCATGTGCTCATTGGCTAATCCAGGTAAAGTTCTTTCTCCCTTGATTAAAATCATTAAGCTTCAATGATCAAGTTACTAGAGAGACTAATGTGGTCTGAAAAAAATGTAGGTCTTTGAGACTCGTGGACATTACCTATGGTTGATTGGAGCTGGTTACTTTTGGTTCCCGGTGGCTCTAATAGCCGAGCTCGTTCAAACCTTCATCCTTGCCGATTTCTGCTACTACTATGTCAAAAGGTAATCGATTAAATCGCGCATAAACTTTAAAATTCGTTTGTAACGATTTAGGAGACTTGGCAATGTTCTTGATATGAATCTTTATACTCTTTACAATATGTTTGCAGTGTAATGGAGGGTCAGCTTGTACTGAAGATGCCGGTTTAAATAGCTTTACAAATGAACAGATACATTTTGTCTTGTTTTTAATTTTTCAAAGTTATAAGCTACATTTAAAACCAAAGTAGATGCTCAAATAACAATCTTTCTTCCCTTAATTTCTAGCTATTTATTTAAGAATCTATATATATAATGGGAGAGTTCTCTCTCCCTCTAAAGCTGTCCACATCAACATTTTTTCTAATTTTTGTGTCAAGCCCTATAAATCATATAAACTCATATATTTTGTTCATCACTCTATTGTCATTTGGCCTGTTAATTTGTAATTTAAACCCCAACACTTTTACATTCAAATTGGGCTTTTGGCCTTTTCCATAACCCATGTTCATGCATAATGTGTTATATTTGTATCAACATATAATCATAAAGGATATCTACAATTAGGATCATGAGCTGGTTGTCGATGCCATTTACTCTTCTCGCAAATCTTTTCAAGTAATCTTTATTACCATGTAATAATATTAAAACATTTATTTGTCAAGAAAACACTATCACCAACAATATATATGTTGTATATCGTTTAAAAAATTTAGTTTAGTGTTTAATTATATAAATTTTATCTTTTAAAATTTGAATGATTATAGTTATGATCAAAGATTAATATGGATAGAAAATGTTTTAAATTAAAATCCCGCGCAGCGCGCGGATACACAATCTAGTCATTATAGTAGTAGAAGCTATAATAGAAGTTAATCAAGAAGTTACACCAAAATGGTCTTTTCTTTTAAAGCTATTTGAATTTGAACTATACTCACATTTTTGGAGAGTTAAGTCGAATATTAGTTGAGATTGTACAACGACGTTTTAACCACCAAATTAAAGATCTTTGACAACAAAATAATTTTTAAAAAGAAACTTAGGGGAAAAAAGTGAAAAATTATGCATTTATTTTTCTAAAATACAGTAAAACCTCTATATATTTTTAAAAATATTATTAATTCATCTATATATGTATTTGTCTTAGGATTAAAAATTTATATTTTTATCACCTGAAAATGTATTTTTTATGGAGTTCAATTTAAGAGATTTTTTTTTTTAATTTAACTAAAAATAGACAAAATTTATAAAGATGAAAATATCATAAATAAATCATGCGGATGAAGAAAGAAGTATTATCACATACGTACAAGTAGCCAAAGTACAAAAATACACATAAAACTCTACAAAAGGCACTTTTTTTTTTTGTTACAGCTTTTTTTTTTTTGTTCTCACGTCTCTCTCTCTCTCTCTCTCTCTCTCTCGTTTAGATTCAGCTGTAAAACCCTAGTGCCATAGCCAAAGCGAGCTTCCTCTGGTGAGAGAGAGAGCGAAGAAGAAGATCGTCGCTCCTTGCTTTCCGGTGAATCGTCAGTTTTTTTCTTCTTCTTCAAAGGTAAACTCTGTTTTTGTCTCTGCCTTCTTCGGAAACTTCTCCGAGCAGTGGCGTACTTCTCTACTCTGTTCTTTTACTTGATCGATTTGTTTCTAGACTGTTTTAGTGCTTAGATCGGTTCTTCGTAACTTAGATTTGTGCTTTGTTTCTTCGCATTTACACAATTGTAGCGAACTGATAGATAACTAAGATGCTGTGGATCTTAACTAAATTTTGTATCTAGATCAGAGATCTATCTTGTATTAAGTGAGATTGAGATTGAAGTGTAGCTACTGATTCATATAAGGTGGTGATTTGATATTTTGATTGCAGAGGGGAAAAAGTAGGCTATGGCGATGTTAGGTGCACAGCAAGTTCCAGCAGCAGCTTGTACTCCAGATATTGTATGATTTCAGTTTTTTAGCAGATGCATTTGTGTTGTTTTTATGAATACTTCAGTTACTTGAGTGTACATTGTTGTTTTTTGTGTGTGTTTTATAGGTTGGGAATGCATTTGTGCATCAGTATTATCACATATTGCATCAATCTCCTGAGCATGTTCACAGGTTTTACCAAGAGATTAGCAAGTTAGGCCGTCCTGAAGAGAATGGTGTAATGAGTATCACTTCTACATTGCAAGTGAGTATACTGTATTTGGTTCTTCTTTTGTATTCTTGAAGTTTGTTTAACTTATGAGATGAAAACCAAATGTGTTTTTGGAATAGTTGTGGAAACACTTATTCTTACCAAAGTTCTATTGAAGTTGTGCTGATTACAACGTATGCATATATATGATGAGCAGGCTATTGACAAGAAGATAATGGCACTTGGTTATGGTGTTATCAGTGCTGAGATAGCAACTGTGGACACACAAGAATCTTATGGTGGTGGTGTTCTTGTACTGGTGACTGGGTATTTGACGGGAAAAGACTGTGTCAGGAGGACGTTTAGTCAGACCTTCTTCCTTGCTCCACAAGAGAAAGGATACTTTGTCTTGAATGATATGTTACGGTACATTGATGAAGCCGCAATCCTTCATGCAAATCGGATTCCAGTGAACATCATTCAAACTCCTGTCAACACTTACCAGGGTGAGTTGAACCTAGTTTTTGTGTGTCGCCCCCTTCAAATCAATAAATTCTAAGTTGTTTTTTTATTACGAGACTATGATTTTTATGAGTGTTGTATATTCTTGTGCCTTAGATGCAGCTCCTGTGAAAGGCATTCCAAATGACCTTGTTCAGGAGAAATATACCCAAGAGAAACATGCTGTTAAGCAAATTGAGGTGTTTTCCAAGAGCATTAATGGGCCTGAAGTGTTCACTCCCTCTGAAGATGAACAAGTATCAGCTACAGAAGAAGCTCCTGCACCTGAAATAGTTCATGAAGCTTCTAATGAAGTGCAGAAGGGTGGAGAATCTGATCCTAGGACTGGCGAACTTCCAAAGAGATCCTATGCATCCATTGTAAGAAACATACATTTGGGTTGTATATTTTCCCCTATTGGTCAAGCTGATGTAAGGTTTGGCTTCTCCGCCCTCATGATTTGATGTCATTTGTGTTCTTTATCATGATATGTAGGTCAAGGTTATGAAAGAGAATGCTGCACCAATGTCTGCTTCGAGAACCCCAACAAAGGTGGAACCAAAGAAACAAGAAGACCAAGCCATCCACATCCCTCTACCAACGCCATTGTCTGAGAAATCAGATTCAGGAGCAAATGTAGCTGTAAATGAGAACGATCAAGATAATGAAAAAGGTAAATGCTTCTATCTGGCTCATGTTTTTTTTACTTCTCAATGGTAAGCTTGCTCAGCCTCAAATCTTTCTCATTTCTTGATTCTGTAACAGCTCTAGGGCCATCCATCTATCTTAAGGGCTTGCCTCTTGACGCAACACCAGCCTTGCTTGAAAATGAGTTTCAGAAATTTGGACTTATTAGGACCAATGGAATTCAAGTGAGAAGCCAGAAGGTAAAAGAGTCGATCTTTATAGTTTCTTAATAGCTCTAATAGTTAGTAAATGCAGAGTATTTATTCTTTGAGTATTGTGCACAGGGATTCTGTTTTGGTTTTGTTGAGTTTGAATCCGCAAGTTCCATGCAAAGCGCAATTGAGGTAAGAACCAACGGTATTACTTATGAACTTGTCAAGGCTATATGAATGTATACTAGGCTAACTAATTGTTATGGGATTCTCAAACAGGCATCACCTGTCATGCTCAATGGGCACAAAGTAGTTGTGGAGGAAAAGAGATCTACTGCAAGAGGCAAGTTTGCTTAAAACTTTGAGAAATGAACTCTTAGGGTCTGTAGACCTTTCTTTATCATTCGTTGTTGAAACAGGGAACTATAGAGGACGCTCGTCGTTTGGTGTAAACACAGGCTACAGAAACGAAGGAGGTAGGGGCCGTGGGAGCTTTGGAGGTGGAAGAGGGGGATATGGCCGGACTGACTTCAATAACGGATATGGTAATAACAACAGGGGAAACAACAGAGGAGGATATGGAAACCGAGCAAATGGTGACAATGGTGGGTTCCCAAGGTCCAATGGTAATAACGGACGTGTAAGACGTGGTGGCGGAGTTGATGCTAATAGAGCTACTAAACCCGTGATGGATGATGCTAATCGTGTGACTGTTACTGCGTAAATGTGCTTTTGAAACAAACAAAGCTCTATTGGTTTTAGAGAGTTTAGGCTTAGAGGTATGGCAACCAAAAAAAAAAAAAAACCACTATCATTCTCTTTTAACTGTGTCCCCCATTTTGTTAATTGGAGTCAGAATTTGAGAGCAAAGAGAGTTTCTGCTTCTCTATTATTTTTTACTGCTAATGAAAATCTCTTTCTTCATCTGACTAATTCTAAGTTTACTGATTCAGAAGATAAGATGTCAAACAAGCTCAAATAGCGTAATGATGCAACTTTATAATATATTTAAGCTTTGAGCCTTTGATATATAGGTTGCCATAGAATTACGACAGCTATGAACAAAATACAGTTTTTCTAAACCCCCAAAAATATATAAATAAACACACAAAGAAACTAAGTTAAAAACATCAAGTGAAGTAACAACATATGCTTTCAGACCTTTTGTTGGTAAGAGAAAAATTTCAGAGATCAGAGGCCGAAATTGCAAGCCTGAACAAACTCGAGGTCGTAGTCGACATGTTTGGTCCAAAGTGGTCGAAACTGGTTCATAGCTATGTCCAGCCACGGCTTCATGTTACCATTGAAGTGTACCACTGCGGCGTTGCGGATCTCATCCATGCTAATGCTCGGATTGTAACCAAGTCCAAGCACATGCCATGATTTGTCCAGCGGCTTTGTGGTCGAGTAAAACGTGATCAGTCCTGGTGGTAACGTTCCCAGTTTCCATAGAGCTCTGTTCTCGTTCTGCAATTCAAAAATAAACACAACAAGGTCAAAAAGACATCACCACACAAAGAAACACATTGTCAAACATATCAGAAAGGTTACCAGATTTTGCCAGTAGTGATATTCTTCTGTGCACTTCTCTCTTCGCCAAGCATCAAGGTCAAAGAAGTTCATTCCATATGCCCACGCACATGCTTTGGGATTAAACTTCTCTTTGATCAGAGGATGTGAGAAATTCATGTATTGAGCGTACCGATGAAACGACCCAAAACACGTCTCTACAGCTCCATTTACTTTCCCATCCATATCGATCTCCCACAGCCCCGTTAAATCCTTCTGCACAACCACATCATCGTCCAAAAACAGTATCCTGTGTAGCTTCGGGTACATCTCAGGTAAATAGAACCTCAAGTGATTCAATATAGACAAATACTTGGGATTCCTGAACTTCATGTTCGTGGTATCCTTTGTTGCATTCTCCAGCTTATTCTCGAAATAGAACTTCTGAAGATTAGCAGACTCCAATTGCTTCAACACAGGCACATAAGAAGAGTTCAAAAACGTATAGTCCTCAACAGCTTTAACTTCTACATGGGCTCCTTTATATTCCTTCAGTTTAAACATAACCTGCATAGCCCCAAGATTCATCTTATCAGTCACGACATGAAAGACATGCTTCCACGGCTCCTTAGCGTTCTTCACAGCAGAGTTCACAACCACTGACGCCGCAATCACATTATCCGAAAATATAGCATAATGGTAAAGACTCGGATCCTCGAGCTCCGACGGTCTAGGTTTCCCTTCATCCGTATACTTCTCAGGATGAGCAATCCTCTCTTCCATCAGCCTCATCGCAAGACAATGCAAACCCTTTGGTATCGATTTCGCAGCAATCAAACTCGAAAACGCACCTTGCTTCTTAGCATTAGTTAACTGTTCATTAACAGCGAAAATCGTATCTTTCAGCTTCTGGATCTTCAACTGATTATCAAAAGACTCTTTCGCTTCAGCAATCACTTGCCGAGTCATTTTAATCCGTTCCTTAACTTCTTTCTCAAACTGCCTAAGCACAGATTCTTCAATCGAAGTTCCATCAGAATCATACAAAGCTCGATACGTCGGCTTATTAATCAGATCCGTATAGTTCCTCGAAAGATCAGCAAAGATCCTAACAAGCTTCGAATTCTCAAGCTTAAGCTTCCTCGCGTAAGACGCATAAGCTAACGCTAATGACCGATGATCATCAGCTTGTTTCCGGATCTGAATCAATCGTGGCCTAAGCGGATCCGATTTGATATCCAATATGGATCTCCTCATAGATCCGACTCCATTAGAGTACTCGACACCCTAAAACTCCACAAAAAATCCGAAAAAATCAAAAACACAATTCAATAGCATTCTCAAATCCAGCTTTGAATACGAATTGCTCGGGGAAAGATCTAACTTACGGGAAGGAGAAGATCAGGTGAATCGTGAGATTCCGAAGCGGAGAAGAAGGAGAGAGTGAAGAAGAGGAAGAGTGCGACAGTGACGGTGAAAGCAGTGAGTGTGATTCTGACACCGTTAATGGCCGGAGATCCGCCGCCGCGTAAGAGTCGGTGGTGATTAGCCATTGGGGAGGGGGACGAGAGCGATCTTCTTCTTCACAGTTTCATTCAATTTTTCAATAATAGCTATTAATGGAGTGTGGCTCTCACTAATCGTGTACGCGGCCAAACTCATCATCCCCAAAAAAATAAAATGTCGGTAGTAAAACAATTATTTTCAGCTTTTAAAAATATATTTATTTGAAGTGTAATAATCATACTTAATTTTAGTATATAGTTTGACTTATATTTAATTTTTGTAGTAATTTTGAGTTATATTAAAATTTTATATCAGATCTGAGATTCAATCTGTGTTTAAGTACTTAACGAAATGGGAACATGAGTGAGTATAATAATCTACTTTTGGACTTTAACATTGCCGAATTCAGACTATGCAACTGTAGATTATCATTTATAAAATGCTATAATATTTTTATGTTAATAAAATGAATGTTGGGATTAACCTAAAACCGAACCGAATCAAACAAAATTTTTGACTTTTGGGTCGGTTTCGGTTCTCTCGGCCGAACCGATTCGCAAGATTTTTAATTTCGGTTCAGTTGCTCGAGAATCTAATCGATTTTTAAGGTCGAACTGATTTGCTTTTCGAGTAACTGTTTTTTTCAAAATTAACCGGATTAACAAAAAATAGACTGTTTCACTGATACACGAGTTGAACGATACCAAATTAACTTTTTAGCCAACAAAAACCAAAATAACGGGAATTATTTTTTTAAAAAAATGGTTAATTTCAGTTTTGAAATTTAAAATCTAAAATTTAAATTAATCGAGAATCGAACTGAAATTTATTATGGTTAATTTTGGCATCCCGCTATTTTTGGTTAACCCTTAATCAAACTAACCGAACCGAACCCATGGGAAGAAGCAAAGTCTGCCTTTATTGAATGATAATGAAATATACAACAAAGTTTTACAGTTTGACAAAAACTATTACATATTTTAGTTTCATTTACCCTTAATTAACTTGTGCATACAGAAAAAGTTCCTCAAAACTATGGAAATTACAAAAGCATAACTAAATCTAGACATCTAGTTGCTTATATATATTTATAGATTCGAAATTATTTAACACAAAGTTTTTATTCATATCCTTTTTAAGCTTTCTTGGAATGCTTATTAGCATTGTAGAAACGTCCAATGCCTTTGAAAGCCTTGGATAGTTTGAGAAGGTTAGGTCTCGCAATTCCCAAATGCATCTTCCCTGTTGAGAACTTCAAAGCCTGTAAGCAACAAAGTTGCTGATGATCAACCACATCATCATCTTCCTCCTCTACTATTACTTCCTTATGATCTATACTCTTTGTCTTCATCATCATCGACTTTGTCTTCTTCTTGAGCTTCTTCTTCTTATCTTCTTCCTTCTTCTCTGTTTGTGTCTCGTAAGTCTCCCAAAGCTGATCCATGCCTTGTCCAACGTCAGCATTGTGTCGTTCTTCGAAGAGCTTGCAAGCTAATGTTCTTCTCCATTCTTTCTCTTTCCTCATTGATCCAAAGCTTTGGAGAGAAACATTGTCTTCTTCTTCATCTTCTTCTTCTTCCTTCTTCTTAGTCACTTTGTCTCTCTTCCCTTCTCCGAGAAAATCGCTTAGTTTTGGGAGATCATTGCTTTCATCATTACTATCTCCGACAAGGTCAACTTTTTGAACTTTGGATTCTTCTTTTGTCGGCTCTTCTCCCTTATCGAGGACAGCTTCACTTTTGGTTTTGACTTTATGTTCTTCTTCTTCTTCCTGTTCACATTTCTTGGTTTCCACTTCTTTCTCCAAATCAATCAGATCCTCAAACTTCAACGGTTTGATCTCAGCTGGCTCCTCATCGGTCAAAGCTTCGGACACCTTGCTCTCATGGCTACAGAATTTGTCAACAAACATCAATTCATCCGGACATATCTCATTCTCGGACGCAAGTTCCATAGAGCAAGCCTCAACGACCAGCTTATACGCTTCCAACACTTCCAAGGACCTAAAACCCTCATCGTTAACCTCAAACTTGTGTTCCAAGACACTTCCAAGCTTACAAAAAAAGGAGAAAAGGAAGCTTGGTTGTGTTTCTAATGATTCAGAATCAGGACAAGTACTGTGCAAAGTACTCAATAAGGCAAGAAGCAAGAGTGTGGTGGTAACAAAAAGTGGTGAAAGAAAAGAGAGAATCTTGAAGATGTAAGGTGAAAAGAAGAGCAAGTAAGAGAAATAGAAAGGGTGTGAGAAGATGAATGAGCAAAAGAGATGTAAGTCAGAGAGGAGAAGAGAAGAGAAACCAATCTTCTTCCTATTTGGAGTCTCTTCTGAAGATGATGACAAGGCTAACTCACACATGTTTGCAGAGCAAACAAAACCTTGGTGATTAGTGAAGGGATGATGTCAATGGCGACAAAGAAGGTTAAGAAAGAACTAGCCAAGTTTTTTTTTTTCTTTTGCTTTGGTATGTGAAGAGTGGTGTGACTATAAGAAAGAGATATGAGAGAGATATAAACGACAAGAGAAAGCAACTTTTGAAAGTTACCTTTCTTTTCACCTCTTTGGCCATTTCAATAACCACCACCATTGCCTTTTTCTTTTGCTCGGTGCCTCGGTCTATAATGTTCCCTGACCTTGACAAAAAAGGATTCATCAAGAACAATTACAACACTTTCAATGATTCTGAATTGTGATAATTAAGTCCTATGAACAAAGTTTTGAACATGTTTATCTCCTGATATCTCTAATCTTGAGTTTAACTGATAATGTAACAAAACTGTCCTAATTCAATGTTATGAGTGTACTAACAACGTTCAATTATCTTTATCCTTAAACACCTTCAATCACGGAGATGGTTAGTTCATACTAATAACTCGAAGCAAAGAGAGTAGTAGTAGTAGTACTCTTAGTGGTTGCATATGGGAAAAAAAACATAATGGGTACTCAAGTGCAGATCATTATTAGTTCTTTTCTCTCTTTACTTTTTCTTTTCTACTTCTTCTAAATGGACCCATGATGGATTTCTTCTTTTTCAATCTCTTTTGTCCTTAAAAACTCACTTTTTACTAGCCGAGAGGTATCTTGAGAAGACTTGGTTCCAACTTTTCTTGTTCTCTCTCCAATTATCCACTGGGATCACAATTTAGTAAAAGCAAATTGGTTAGAGAGAGAGTAAGTGAGTGAGTAAAACTGAAGCAATATTGGAGTTTCTCATGGTCTCATTGAGACAGTACTACATAGTGAAAAGACTCTTGTTTTTTAGTTTTCAACGAATCTACCAACATATGTAATAGCCTGTATTATGTAAAATATTATATTGCAAGCAATCATTAGCATTTTAATGGTCTTTAGATAGAAATCACGCAAATGTCCGAGTTTCGCGGTTTTGAATTGGTATTTTTTCCGAGTTTTTGTCTATTGAATTTGTTCTTATACTTCCTTAGTTCCTTTGTTGTTTGTGTATAGTTGTAGTATTTGTTGTTGTCTTTAGCTTTTGGTCTTTTTGCTATTCGTAGTTCTAAGCAATTTCTGTAAAAGAATTACTAAAGTTGTATAAATACTTAACACTAATATATATAAAAGGCATATATATGTTAGAATTGTTCTACACCATTCTACATTCATATAACAATTTCAGAGGACAAAATATATTGGCTGCGACAAATCCTAGAGGTGCATGAAGAACTATTTCTACGCATTTCCTTGAAATCGGATTAGCCTCGAAGAAAAATCAAGTATCGAGTTGAAAAAAATCTAAACGAAGCAGAATCAATCCAACATCGATGTAACCCCCGATATAGTGTAGTAAAATTTGTGCTTAAGCTTGTGGATCATGAAAGAAGAGAGAGCCTAGTGACTGTTTCAGTCTCCGAGTGTCACATTACAAAACACGATTTTTAGTATGTAATGTACATGATTCTTACATATAAGCGACGAAAAAAAAGATGAAGAGTGTGAGTTTTTGTGCATAGATAGAAAAAGCTCACACAAAACTGTAGATTTAACTAACAGTTGATCTTAATAGCTTGTAAACACAATTTGAAGTCTTGATCCTTCTTTCAAAGAATCAAAAGGTCTAATGAGCCAAACAAAGAAAAAATATGAAGGACCAAATTCTATATATAAAACATCGTTGGGATAAAAATGAAATTAAAGCATCTTTTAGGGTCGTTCCTTAATTACGTAAGAGTTATGACCGGGTTTGGGTTTAGGGTTCAATCTCGGGTTTAGATCAACCCGAATCGAATCCCAGACACCTTATTGAAATTGGAGTCTCCTCAGTTCCGTGACGTCAAAAATGGCGTCGGGTGATCGGAAATCCCCAGAGAAAACGACTCAGCCGTTGTCACCACCGACGCCGATCGAGCAGAAAAATGGAACTCCGACGAAGCGTGTGTTGGTCACTTCCCTTTTAGCAGGTTTCGCATTACAATCACTGCTTCTTCGTCTTTCTCTGGGTTCATTGTTACATTTTGTTCGAACGAATAGGCCAAGACTAGGGTTTATGAGTACACCTTTAAGAAGACGCAATTTTTGGTTTTGGTTACACGAATCGTCGGGAAAAGTACCAAATTTTTTTATGTTTCCATAAGTAAAAAATTACTTGAAGTTCGCTTTATTGGCATTACAGTCTCAGATTTGGAACAAGCTTGTGGTGAACTGAGGAATCTATCAATTTTATTGCTTATGAAGATCATAGCTTAAGTTGATGTTCAAGTATGTTGATTTTTTTGTGTAAGTAGAACTTACTAGATTGTGGTTGTTTTATCAGTTACTTGAAGTTTGATTCCTGGGTTTTACAGTTCTATTCATTAGAAGAAGTTGTTACTGAGATTTGTGGTGTATAGAGAGTTCACTGGTTTGATGACCAGAGCCTTTTGGGTTGCTTAGTTATTGCGTTGTCTGAGAAAAGATGTTCATTGTGTACTTGTGCAGGTGTTATTGGAGGAGGAGTTGGTTTAGTGTCCAAACACCGGAAAGCTCATCCCAATATTCCTACTGTTTACGCTACTAATTGTGCTATTGTCGCCGGTTGCTATTGCGGTACCTTATTTTCTTCTTGTGTTCTTTTCCATTTGTGTTCTCAATGTGTTTCTATTTTCTCTAAGAAGTGGACTGTCATGATGCCATGTGACCTGAACATTGCTTGATTGTTGCAATTTTTTGGTTTTGGTAGGAGCTCGTGAATTTGTGAGAATAACTCGAAGAACAGAGCATGATGATTTGATGAACTCAGCTATTGGAGGACTTTTCAGTGGTGCATTGCTTGGACGACTTCAAGGTTTGTGATCATGAATATGTTTAGGCAGTAGCTAATTAACTGTGTCTTCCTCACTTTTTCTCCAATCTTAATGAAAATCCATATCCCTGAAGATTTGGCTGCGTTGATAGTCTCAACTAGTCTGACCATGAGAGTGCTATTTGCTGTTACAATAAGGATCACAACATAGTAACTCTTTACCCTTTAGGTTGTTAAGCCCGGAACTGACATGCTTTTTATGATCGTCCCCTCTCCTCGCTAATTGTTAGTCTCAAAGACTCTCTTAACCCTTAATCTTATTCCCCTATGTCCGATGTTTACAGGAGGTCCTCAGGGTGCAATTCGCTACTCACTAGTTTTTGCAGCTGTGGGCACAGCATTTGATTATGCTACCCTAAAAGCAAAACCAATGTTAGAGAGCTACCGTAACATGGAGTCATTCAAGTTACCTGAATGGTCTCCTATTAAAATCCTCGACGAAGAAGCTTTAGCAAAGAAGAAAGCTCAAGAAGAGAAAATATTCCCGGAAAGAGTCCTTGGCAAATTGAACAAGGAACAGTCTTGACCAACTTAGATTACTTATTTCTTTTGCCCCCATAATATTTCTGAAGTTGGGATTTTTGTTTGTGGGTTTGCTGTTTCGTGAAAGTAATTCCAAACCTTTTAGATGAGACTTGAGGAAGATTTTTTTTGTTTTGTTTTGAGTTTCCTCAGAAAACCTCTTAGTTGTATTCTGACCTACCAATAAGCGTATAGAGATATATTTCATGGTTGCTTATGGGCATACCTACAAATTCGAATAATTTGTATATTAGAAGACTCTTTGGCATACCATTGTAGAATTGATATACCTTTGACAAATTCATGTAAATGTAGTTAAGTATTGGAAATGCTTATGCTAAGTATTGGAAATGCTTAAGCTTGAAACTGTTGAGAAATATGAATTATTTAGGTGTTTTCTTTATCTTATACAACCTAAGTTTCTGACTTTTAGCTCTGATTATGACACAGCTATATAAAACTACTAACTCCAAATTTATGGTCAAATATTTGGCTATTATAATGCTTCTTACAACTATATTAAATTTTCCTTTGATTACATCGACGATAGGGGTTAAATCTGACTAATTCGATGGATAAATCTACCTATCGCTACAGAGATCCATTATGTTAAAAAAATGCAAGTCGAAATACGAGATTATAGATTATCATCAAGTTTTACACTACCACAAATTGGTTGAAATTAAAATACTGTAGATGTAAACTATCGATTTAGAGAGATATAAGTCAATAAATATTTTGTTAAAAACATTGAGAGGAGTGTATTCAAAATGGAATATTAAGAGATTTGAGTTTTATTGAGTTTTTAAATGATTTGATGATTTTAGAGAAGTTAATATGATTTTTGTAAAATCCTTTCAGATCTCACCAAAAATCATGGGATTTGGATTTCTGTATTTTTAACTAAGGCTCCTACTGGTAACATATTGAGGAATAAAAAGAACGAAAATGAACAAGAAAAAAAAAGGAACATAAGAAAAAAAAAGGAACGAAAAAAAGGAATTGACGCAGGAAAAAATAGAAAAAATGATATGGTAAATGGTAACCAAAAACAGAACAAACTATAAAACAAATAAAAAAACGTATTTAAAAAAAAACAAGCATCATATTCGATGAACACTCAATATAAAAAAATTATGATAATAATTAAAACAAAAATTATAGAAAGATTAGTTTAAATTTTATATAAGATATGAACGAATTGTTCAAACATTAGTTGTACTTATCCAAAGAACCTAAGAGAGTTTGACGTTATCACATGAGAATAATAGTTGCATTGGTTTTATACGTTATCAACAACTTTTGCATGATTTTGTTATTTTTTTTTTTTTTTGTTATCCTATTTGTTCCACATCAAATTTGAAGAGAAACAATTTTCTTCTATGATTCCTCAATAAAAAGGAACGTATAAGAATAGTGTGGGGTACATGTGTCAAAATTTGGAATATATATTACTGCTAAATGGTAAACAAAATGAGGAACAAGGAGGAATAACTTATTCCTTTTCATAAATTGGTCACCAGTTAGACCATAAGAAAATCCTCTGAAATCCTTCAAAAGCATTAATAGCCAAATCCACAAATTATTTTCAATAACAGTAGATTTTGAAATCATTAGTTCAATAACAGTGCATTTCATGAGACTTTTTAAATCTAGAATTTATACTTTGAATACACTCTTTTAGATTGTGATCATTGATTAGATTCTATCTAGTATGATGTCATATTTTTCCATTATAATCTTTAATAACACTTGCGAGTTGCAATTTACGGGTTTCTAGACTATAATTATTATTTTAAAAATCGTGTGATATTTGGTTGAATCGTCCGACATAGTTGGTGTATAGTGGTTTAGAAGTAGATATACTAAAATGTGAATTTGTTACGAATAAACTTATTTTTAGTGATGCGTAATAGAATGAGCAAATAGATCAAAACAAATCTCAACAACAAAAACAACACATGTGGACAAGAAAAAGTCTTCAAAACAAATTCACAAAAATTCATCAAGTCACGTGATTAAACAGAGAGAGACACGTGCTTTGGCTATTTCACAAACAGAAGCCAGGGCTTGTCTTTGACAATTGTCCAACAATGGCATCGAATGGCAAAACCGTAATTTCAGACACCACCAAGTGGCAAATTTAAAAGTCTCGCCTTTTCATTGTTTTGTCTTTCTTCTTCTTCACCTTCACCTCGGACCCATCGGAGAGATTCACATTCACAGTGTTTCCAAATTGAAAAAACCGAACCTTCTCGTTCTCCTTCTCTGTTTCCATTTTTTTTTTTCAATTACCAGAAAAAATGATGAAGCTTTCGTGTAATGTGACTGATTCCAAGTTACAGAGAAGCTTATTCTCTTTCTCGCATTCTCATCGATCTGATCCGGTGAATTTCATCCGACGGGGGATTGTATCGTGTTCTCAGATGAAGAAGACGGGTTTGGATCCTTTGCGAGCGGTTGTGTCTGCTGATCAAGGAAGTGTGATTCGAGCTGAACAAGGTTTGGGTACTCTCGCGGATCAGCTCCGATTAGGTAGTTTGACTGAGGATGGTTTATCGTATAAGGAGAAGTTTGTTGTTAGATCTTACGAAGTTGGTAGTAACAAAACAGCCACAATTGAAACCATCGCTAATCTCTTACAGGTCAGATTTGGTGTCTTTTGTTAATCATCTTCAATGATTGGTTTTGATTGTTGTCTTGTTGAAATGTCACGCACATGTTAAAGCAATTTGCTTTTTTTTTTGTTATAAAGTATGAATCTTTTTGTTGGTTGTGGGAAATTGTAGGAGGTGGGATGTAATCATGCACAAAGTGTTGGCTTTTCGACTGATGGGTTTGCTACAACGCCTACTATGAGGAAATTGCATCTCATTTGGGTTACTGCAAGGATGCATATTGAGATCTACAAGTACCCTGCTTGGTATTTTGCTTTGTTTCTCTTTCTATCTGGTTGCATGTTGACTATTAGTGAGCAGGATTTTGAATCTTTTGTTTGGTTGATACAGGGGTGATGTGGTTGAGATAGAGACATGGTGTCAGAGTGAAGGAAGGATTGGCACAAGGCGTGATTGGATTCTTAAGGATTGTGCAACTGGTGAAGTCACTGGCCGTGCTACAAGGTAGGATAAAAATTTTGGACTGTTGAAAGAGTATAGAATCGTGTGTCTAGATGTTCAGTGTTGCTTACTGTATTGGTTAGGGACCCTATGTTCAATATTTTTGCCATGGACATGTACTAGACATGGATATTGGAGTTACATGTTTTATGTTTGATATAGATTTCTTTAACTTGGATTTTATGTGATTTGTTGTGTGACATATGTGTTATGGTCTCAGCAAGTGGGTGATGATGAACCAAGACACAAGACGGCTTCAGAAAGTTTCTGATGATGTTCGGGACGAGTACTTGGTCTTCTGTCCTCAAGAGCCCAGGTAGAGGACACTTTAGTACCAGGGCAAAGCTTGCTGGTTAATATCCCATGAATGAATGCTAACTATTTTTTTGTATGTAACTTATAGATTAGCATTTCCGGAAGAGAATAACAAAAGCTTGAAGAAGATCCCGAAACTGGAGGATCCGGCTCAGTATTCAATGATTGGGCTTAAGGTACAAACAATAGTGATATAGGACTCTTTTTCGAACTTTAAGCTTCAGAGTTCCTTAAGGCTTTGTGATCATGTTTTTGCAGCCTAGACGCGCTGATCTCGACATGAACCAGCATGTCAATAATGTGACCTATATTGGATGGGTTCTTGAGGTAAGTATAAAGGTTTACGAGAAAAACTCAATGTGTTTAAATGAGAACTTTAGTAACCATATGATCTTGTTTCTTGGTAATGGCAGAGCATACCGCAAGAAATTGTAGACACGCACGAGCTTCAGGTCATAACTTTGGATTACAGAAGAGAATGTCAACAAGATGATGTGGTGGATTCACTCACCACCTCGGAAATTGGTGAAACCAATGGCTCTGCTACGTCTGGCACACAGGGCCACAACGATAGCCAGTTCTTGCACCTCCTGAGGTTGTCTGGAGATGGTCAGGAGATCAACCGTGGGACAACCCTGTGGAAAAAGAAGCCGTCAAGATAAGAAATAGACAATCTCTTAGGCCATTTTGTTCTCAAGTTTCCATCATCTCAATGAGTATTTTCGCTTCACGAGTCAGAGCAGGTCTCATCTTTTTCTCTTTCAAATTTGGGTTAGACTAGAAAGAACTGGATTGTTGGAGTAATCTTTGTTGAACTTAATCATGTTTGTTCATGTTTTTTGTACAAATTTTGGGGATTTAGCCAAACCCATATCGTCTTTGGTCTTTGTCTTGTGCCTGCGTGTATTTTTAATTTATCCTTTCGTAACACAAAAAGATTGTTCATTAGATGTTTTATATCAACAGAGTTTGAGTTTCTTTGACATCAGAGACCTCAAGATGTAAGAGTTGTTGGAAACTTTATTCCAGTTAACACTTAACACCAAATGAGTCAAGGACCTTTCACATAAAACTCTATGGTTATTTAAACAAGTTACATGATTGATAACAGATTCTGCCTATTACACGGGATCGTAGTAATGTAAAACGGTGTGAGATAAAAAATGAAAACTAGAAAAACCAAACACACTGAATCGAAGAACAATAAGATATCATGAGTTCTACTCCTATGTCAGAGCATCTCAGTTAATCTAATCATGAAAGAGTTAACTGCAGAAGTATCCAAGACAATCCATGAAGACTCGAATAGCTCGTGAAAGTAATCAGCTCTACTTTCCTGAGCTGCTTTTCTGAAAGCATTGCCAAAAGCATTCCCTCTGACTGCCCCGAGCCTCGGCTTCCCACAAACTCCAACCACAAGTATCTTCCCAGGTTGTTGTGATCCGCAGGCACATAGCATTGGTTTCATCCTAGCTCCTTTCTCTCTCAAAGCATCCATTAGAAAGTAACAGAACTTGGTCAAGGCCTGAGGATATCCCAAATACTTAGCATCCATGGAATCCTCAATTCTCACCCATCTGAATTTTCTACCACTTCTGATGCATCCACTTTTCATGATTGCTGCACTTCCTTGTCTAAGAATTGCTCGTTGAACTTTGATTGCTTGTTGCATCCCAGATCGGAGTATATCCAAATTGTTCAAAGACAGAGCATCGTAAGCTTCGCCAAACTGTTGTAAAGCAGTGGAGCCACCTGACCCAAGAAATGATTCAAGAAGTGCTGTAATACCATAAACAACA